AACCGCAATGTCATCCCTGAAACGATTGTACATCTGATAGTGACTTCCAGTTTGAAGCAGCAACAAGAAAACGCTCAGCAATGAAACCAATCGATAATCATACCATTTATCGAAGCATGCCGTTCAACTAAATCACTCAACCAACATTCAGTAATCACAACAATCGGTATTAAACAATTTATTTTTAGTAAGTAAAAACACATTATCGGAAGATTAACAATTGGAAAATGACAAACTTTAATGCAAAAAAATGCTGCTTTCACATTTCTGAAACGTAACATGTAAAATAAGTCGTAAAAATAGCTCATTTCAGAAGCTGGCACTACTTCGATCTTCCCATATTTCTCAAAATATTAGTTTTTTACTGCAGAAACTGCAAGCCTGTGCTTCACGAGTCGTTTTGTCTGTGCCCTTCTTTTGGCTATTTGATTGATTGTTTATCTTGCAATTTGCCAGCACTTTCTGTTCCAATACATTCCTCTCATTGGGGTATTTTCTTTCTATTGCTGCCTGCTTTCCAGCTCGTGATGCAAGCGACGCGACACATTTTGTGGAAATATTTTGCGTTTCTTGAGCAATTGCCCCGATACAGGAGGGTTCACTTAGGCTCAGAACCGGACGACAAATAAAATGGTGCCACCTGGCTGGCTACCTGAAAGTCTGCCTCCACACATGGTGTTCTGTTTAAAAAAATGTGTGGCACAGGGTGTTCAGTAGGGGTTTGAGATAAGCCCCCCCCCCCCATTAAAAAGTCACACCAGGGTGCAATAAATTTCATCCCTAGGTAAAATGGCTGGCTAGTACTCGAAGCATTTGACATGCATTGACCAGTGGTTCTCAGCTTTTTTTTGGCTACTGTACCCCTTGTTGAAGGTTGTTTCAACCGAGTACCCCCTTGCCTGACCCAACATGGTTTTGAGAAATAAATATATGCAACATCAATATTTTAACCAATTGTCCATTATATGAAGTATCTTAACTAGCTCGTAACTGCAAGCGAATAAAACAACTCAACGTACACTGTATGCATGACGTTGTTCGCGCTCACTGGTTACCATTGGAAACCACATTGTATGTAATTTATGGGACATTTGGATGCATTTTGTGTGAAATGGTTCTGTATGTAATGGCACCTTTTTTGCCACTTTGCGCATTACGTATGGGTTACATGTGCACACGTATCACTTGTTATATCTAGAAATGTTTCGACTACTTTTATATTTTTACATTCAATAACGAACCATAACTGTGCCTGCTCCCACATGTTAGTATTGCGCACTGTTTTGCCACAGATTAATGATGGTGACTTTGCATTTCACACAAAATGCTTTGAAAATATCATCAACTGCCAGTGTAAGTTAGCACCCGTAAACTATATGTAATGTGATACTAATTCGCGTTAAATCAATTTGGCATGATTACCTTATTAATCATGGATGCTTGGCTTTGCGGAACATCACATGATAATCATATGCTCAAAGCAGGTGGTGGAGGGCCAAATTATATTTTGTAATGAACTGATACAACTGTAACGACTCAGACGACAATGTAATAAGAGCCATTTATTGGGACACAGCCACAATACGGGACCCTAGGCTTTGATCTTATCTTCAGCTTGTCTTCCCTGGAACGTCCCCTCGCCTTGTGCTCTGCCCTTTTATATATTTCCAGTTCCCTTTCTGGAATGTTCCCTCACTGTGTTTCCCTTAGCCAATCCGTAAACCTTCCCATCTAACGGATCTCAACCGTCGCCTCTGGGTTCCACTTTGTTTTCCACGTGTTCTCCTGTAAACCATTTTCCCCAATCACTTTAAAAGCCTTCCTCCCGACCATTACACAACTGATAGTAATACATCTTGCAATTCACATTGGTGTTTGATTCTAAATCATGTGAATAAATTCCGTCATACTGAGTGAGAAAGCGAGTGGCCTTCCCGACAGCTTCAATCTCCTTGCCACATACACGAACAGACCGAATGCAATTTCCAAAGAGTCAACGAATCCCTGGATCTTGGTATTCATCCAGGAAACCTACAATCCCAAAGGCTTGGCCTCCAAACCAAACACCTCTAGAGCCTCCTCTAGGGCCTCCTCTAGGGTATCCAGCAACGCCGTGAAAATCACCGCATAATCGGCAAAGTTCAGATCCATAAACCTGGATCATGCACAAAATGCGCCATGATGGCTCCAGCCTGATACCCGTCCCTACATCCAGTCAATACAGGTGTTAAATGGGGTGGGGGGCAAAACACACCCCTGTCTCACCCCCGCATTCACCAGGAAAAAAGTCAGATGTGCCCCCACTCCATTTAACAATGGTGTGAGACTGAGTACAGGGCGGAGATCAGACTAATGCCTTCTGCTGTTCCATGGAGTAGCTGGACAACCCACAGGGCCTCCCTTCAGATCGATGAAGGTCGCTTCATCGATCTGAAGGGAGACCTTGCAATGCGCCAACAAGACCTGATGATCCAGGGTCTGGTCTCTCGTTGACCTCTTTGGTGTGAATCCAGCCCGTCCTGGCCTCTAATGCATCACAAAATGGCCACAGACTCTTGGCAAGAGAATGTGGGCGAGTACCTTGCCAGGCACCGAGAGCTGCATCACCTCACAGTAACTGTTATATTCACTTGTCTCCTTTCCCATTCCAGATTGGGACAAGAAGTTCCCATCTCCAGGCAGGGGGGACAGAGGACGAATTCCATACTTCAACAATCAGAGCCAACCAGACCTCACCCCCGACGATTCGATTATGATTGGAAGTCCCGTTTAACAAACAAAAAAGTTAACCAGGCCCCACCTTAAAGAAACCATTACCACAGAAATTAGATTAAGGGCATCACTAACATCACAAAGGTGCTAGAGCCCTCTGAGAATGCCCCGGATTGGGAGCGCAGCAGATCCTCCAACCTCGTCTCCCACCGCTGCCATGTAGAAGTACATTATAATGCACTCTTGAGTACAGTGCTTAATACTTACCGTTACAATGTATTGTTTTTTATTTATTCAATCATGTTTACCATCTGTATTATTAATACTATTACCAATACCCCAGTATAGCCCTCATAATTCTCATACAAAAGTTAATGCTGACGGGAACACATCCCCATATATTCAATGGTCTGACGATTTTTAACACTGATTTGCGGAGCACTCACTTCTCCAGGAACGCATCTTGAGCACTAAGCGAGGTCTGCATGCACACTCGCCGAGAATTAGTTTAATTCCGGAATCCTATACAACAGTATATAAAGCACTGGACAGGAAACTTTTCCCAATGCAACTTCATCGAACGCGTGTTTTGACTATACACCGTGTACCTCATAACGTCTGTTTCCGAAACATGGGGCTTAGGGTTCGAGTTTGATGCTGCAAGATTCTCATCTCCGTGTCGTGAGAGTGCTGCATCCATTGGAAGGTATGAATGAATCGACTGTGAGACCAATTTATTTACCATGTATGTTAGTGTATGTTTTGTTGTGTGATAATGCACAACAGCACATCGCAAATGTCCACATTGCCGCATGCGTTTAACTGTCTACTCATTTAGGACGACAATCATACGGACGCCTAGATGGCGAATCATCGTTTAAGCGACAGTGTTAGGGGTGAGTGTTGGGCATGAGTGCCGCGGTGTGGGAAAAGTAATGAAGACGGGAGTTTTGTGTTCAGGTGAAATTGAAAAATAAAGTGTACACATAAAATAAATGGAGAGCAACTCAGCATCCTATCGTCCAAAAACAAGAGTGGAAATCATGGTGATTTAGTTAAACAAAGAAAGAGGGGGTGATAACTTCGGACCCAGGAACACAACCCTATTTTTCCTACAAGGTCTATTTGTCGAACGTGGTTTTGCCCAATAAAGTATTTTCCAGGCACATAATCCCCGCGTTCGGCGAGGTATGCCTGTATTGTTTGCATCACCATCAGCCATGGTCAATCCACTGCTATTTGAAGGGATCTTAAGCTGTTATCCAGCGATGCTGTATTTATCACGATCGATTCTTACACACATTGTATATATTTATCAGCGTCTACCAAGGGGCCGTCCATAAATTACGTCACGCGATTTTGGACGATTTTTGACCCCCCCCCCTCGTCACACGACCCCCCCTCCTCAAATATGACGTTACAAAGCTCTGCCCATTCCCCCCCAAAAATAAAACATGCTTCAAATCGCTTTAAACTATTGTCATTGTAGTGCGTATTTAATGTGGCGCTGCACTCTGATGCTGTAGGAGAAAACATTTATTAAAAAGTCTATTTAATCAAGTAGAACGTGTTGTCTATATTTATTTAAAGTTGCGCATTTTGATATGACGTCACATTTCTCCCCCCCCCCCCTCGTCACACATCGTCACAAATGTCTGACCCCCCCCCCCCAGGTGCGTGACGTCATTTATGGACGGCCCCTTATTTAGATACTAAACAACGACTCTGAACCATGATTTCACGCTGACAAATTGAAGTCAATCGAACACCGACTGCGACGTGGCCCGCACGCACAACCACGTGCCCCCCTCCCCACAACCACGTGGCCTGCACGCGCAACCACGTGGCCTGCACGCGCAACCACGTGGCCTGCACGCGCAACCACGTGGCCTGCACGCGCAACCACGTGGCCTGCACGCGCAACCACGTGGCCTGCACGCGCAACCACGTGGCCTGCACGCGCAACCACGTGGCCTGCACGCGCAACCACGTGGCCTGCACGCGCAACCACGTGGCCTGCACGCGCAACCACGTGGCCTGCACGCGCAACCACGTGGCCTGCACGCGCAACCACGTGGCCTGCACGCGCAACCACGTGGCCTGCACGCGCAACCACGTGGCCTGCACGCGCAACCACGTGGCCTGCACGCGCAACCACGTGGCCTGCACGCACAACCACGTGGCCTGCACGCACAACCACGTGGCCTGCACGCACAACCACGTGACATGCACGCACAACCACGTGACATGCACGCACAACCACGTGGCCCCCTCGCGCTCAACAGCAGCAGACGCGGAAGTGGAGGCCGGTGGGGAAGGGGTCACGTGACGCGGCGTCCTGATCCGCGATGGACGCCGTGCGGTGGCACCCGCGGTCCGCACCGGGCGTCTCCTCGCCGTGCGGTCGCCGCCTCCACCACCACCACCTCCTCCACCACCACCACCTCCTCCACCTCCCGCTGCTGCTCCCCCGCGTCTCCCCCGCGCGCCGCCTGCTCCCGCTGCTGCTGCTCATCGCGGCGGTGACGGCGGCGTTGGGCGCGCAGGCCGAGCTGCCCGCGCGCCTCCACTCGTACAGGTGCCCTGAGGCCTCTCCTGCTGCTCCTGCTGCTGCTGCTGCTCCTGCTGCTCCTGCTGCTGCTCCTGCTGCTCCTGCTGCTGCTCCTGCTGCTCCTGCTGCTGCTCCTGCTGCTGCTCCTGCTGCTCCTGCTGCTGCTCCTGCTGCTCCTGCTGCTGCTCCTGCTGCTGCTGCTCCTGGTGCTGCTCCTGCTGCTCCTGCTGCTGCTCCTCCTGCTGCTCCTGCTGCTGCGCCTGCTGCTGCTGCTCCTGCTGCTGCTGCTCCTGCTGCTGCCGGCACTGACGCCTCTGCTCCGCACTTGATGTTAGCGGCGCCCGGGTCGCGAGCTGGATGTGGAGGTGGTCTCCTGCTGGCCAGGGCGAGAGAGAGAGAGGAAGGGCTTCAAGGAGACGGCAGCTCGTCGTCGTTTTGCTGTTCATCAGTTGAAGGAGCGCATACCTCATGCAGTGGTTTGGGTTGCACGGCCACGATCGCGCTGCTGTGGCTTGCCATCAGAATATTTATTTATACTGGAGGAATCTGATGAGCTTTAAAGCTCTCTTTTGCACAGATATCCAGTAGATGTCCAGAGAATGGGTGAGTGGGTGAGTGAGAGATGGAATCCAACCTGCACATCTGCATTGCAAGTCCAAGTGAGCTAAGGGGCCGTCCATAAATGACGTCACGCACCTGGGGGGGGGGGTCAGACATTTGTGACGATGTGTGACGAGGGGGGGGGGGGGGGGGGGAGAAAGGTGACGTCACATCAAAATGCGCAAATTTAAATAAATATAGACAACACGTTCTACTTAATAAAATAGACTTTTTAATAAATGTTTTCTCCTACAACATCAGAGTGCAGCGCCGCATTAGATACGCACTACAATGACAATAGTTTAAAACGATTTGAAGCGTGTTTTATTTTCAAAATGGAAATATGGTTTTGGGGTGGGGGGTGGGCAGAGCTTTGTAACGTCATATTTGAGGGGGGGGGGTCTGACTTTTTGTGACGCCGTATGACGTCATTTATGGACGGCCCCTAACGCCCCGCGAGTGGTGGGGTAAAGTGTGGGTATGTTGCAACCCAACGCTGTGGACAAATGGACTAAGCCCATAGATAGATACACGCATAGATACATCGACTCGGAGATACATAGTTTTTTTTTCAGTTTAATTTATTTGGTATAGCCCTGTGAGCCATTCGGCTCTTGAATCGGGTGCAACCGCAACAAACAAAAAACAAGAACATGAACAAAAAAACATCTTAAAGTGACTAGGTGACTGTGCAAACAAATCCAGGAAAAAAAACAGCAAAATATTCATGAAATAGCACCGTACACCAACGCTGTGTGCAAAAATCCCAGTGGGATGCAAGTCAAACAACAACAACAACCACAAGACAACTTAGATTAAGGCCATCAGTCTAACTCCGTACTACAACAAACAAACATGGCCAAACCAAAAAACTTTTCGAAATAAAGCCATAAATGCAATGTAACAGTGATCATACAGTGAGGCAAAAAAGTATTTCATCCCCTGCTGATTTTGTACGTTTGCTCACTGACAAAGAAATGATCAGTCTATAATTTTAATGGTAGGTTTATTTGAACAGTGAGAGACAGAATAGCAACAAAAAATTTCAGAAAAACGCATGTCAGAAATGTTATAAGTTGATTTGCATTTTAATGAGGGAAATAAGTATTTGACCCCCTCTCAATCAGAAAGATTTCTGGCTCCCAGTTGTCTTTTATACAGGTAACGAGCTGAGATTAGGAGCACACTCTTAAAGGGAGTGCTCCTAATCTCAGCTTTTTACCTGTAAATAAGACACCTGTCCACAGAAGCAATCAATCAATCAGATTCCAAACTCTCCACCATGGCCAATACCAAAGAGCTCTCCAAGGATGTCAGGGACAAGATTGTAGACCTACGCAAGGCTGGAATAGGCTACAAGACCATTGCCAAGCAGCTTGGTGAGAAGGTGACAACAGTTGGTGCGATTATTCGCAATGGAAGAAACACAAAAGAACTGTCAATCTCCCTCGGCCTGGGGCTCCATGCAAGATCTCACCTCGTGGAGTTGCAATGATCATGATAACGGTGATGAATCAGCCCAGAACTACACGGGAGGATCTGGTCAATGATCTCAAGGCAGCTGGGACCATAGTCACCAAGAAAACAATTGGTAACACACTACGCCGTGAAGGACTGAAATCCTGCAGCGCCCGCAAGGTCCCCCTGCTCAAGAAAGCACATATACATGCCCGTCTGAAGTTTGCCAATGAACATCTGAATGATTCAGAGGACAACTGGGTGAAAGTGTTGTGGTCAGATGAGACCGAAATGGAGCTCTTTGGCATCAACTCAACTGTATGGAGGAGGAGGAATGCTGCCTATGACCCCAAGAACACCATCCCCACCGTTAAACATGGAGGTGGAAACATTATGCTTTGGGGGCGTTTTTCTGCTAAGGGGACAGGACAACTTCACCGCATCAAAGGGACGATGGACGGGGCCATGTACCGTCAAATCTTTGGTGAGAACCTCCTTCCCTCAGCCAGGGCATTGAAAATGGGTCGTGGATGGGTATTCCAGCATGACAATGACCCAAAACACACGGCGAAGGCAACAAAGGAGTGGCTCAAGAAGAAGCACATTAAGGTCCTGGAGTGGCCTAGCCAGTCTCCAGACCTTAATCCCATATAAAATCTGAGGGAGCTGAAGGTTCGAGTTGCCAAACGTCAGCCTCGAAACCTTAATGACTTGGAGAAGATCTGCAAAGAGGAGTGGGACAAAATCCCTCCTGAGATGTGTGTAAACCTGGTGGCCAACTACAAGAAACGTCTGACCTCTGTGATTGCCAACAAGGGTTTTGTCACCAAGTACTAAGTCATGTTTTGCAGAGGGGTCAAATACTTATTTCCCTCATTACAATGCCAATTAATTTATAACATTTTTGACATGCTTTTTTTATTTTTTTGTTCTGTCTCTCGCTGTTCAAATAAGCTTTCCATTAAAATTATAGACTGATCATTTCTTTGTCAGTGGGCAAATGTACAAAATCAGCGGGGGATCAAATACTTTTTTCCCTCACTGTAGGGACTGTGACCGAATTTTTTACAATAAACTACGTAATGAACATGTAACCCCAAACCCTAGAGCCATAGCTGGCTGCATGAGTAACTCCACAACAACAGGAGCATCAGTCGGAGTATAAAAATTTTCAATGCACCTTTAAGATCAGCACACTAAATCAAAATACAAATAATACTTTGCAGCGCTCATCCGGAGCGAAACATTTTATTTTATTTTAGGCCACTGAATAGCAGTGGCAGCTAGGGGTGTGCAACTCCTCTAGAGCAATTTTGAGTGAAGATCTCATAGGTAGTGATTCAAGTTGCAGTTTATTGGCAATAGCATTCCAGACCCTGGGGGCATCAATAGCAAAGGCCCTTCCTCTAGTTTTTGTACAGAAATAGGGAATGTGAAGCTGGTAAATGAGCGAAGACCTGAGGTCAAATTTGTTCTTTGAAACAGAGAGGAAATCCAGCAGGTAGTCTGCGGATTTTTTTGTAAGTACATCGGGAATAAATTAGATCTGGTGCACAAGCCGTCGAACATTAAGAGATGTTAAGTTTGACTCAATGTAGAGATCACAGTGGTGAGTCCTATATGGGCAGTTCAATGCAAATCTTAAGGCCGAGTGATAGATGGAATCAAGGTTCTTCAGTACAGTACTTGGGGCTGATTTATATACGATGTCACAGTAATCAAGTAGAGGCAGTATGGTAGATTTGATCAATTCCAAACGGAACATAGGGGGGAAGCAGTGCTTGTGTCGATACAGAAAAACAATTTTTATCTTTTTACCAATATAGAGACACGATCATAAGAGATGCATAAACCCATAGAAGTCATGATCGCACTGCTGTCGTGTGTTCCAGGTCGCGAGTCAAGGCAATGTTCTACCACGCGTACGACAACTACATGCACAACGCCATGCCCTTCGATGAGCTGAGACCTCTTACGTGCGATGGGCAAGACACCTGGGGCAGGTGCGGATAGTTCCGCTTAATATGGGGTGGGGTGGGGGGCGTGGATGATTGTTGGTAGTTTAGAATCAGAATCTTTTATTTCGACTGGAGGAATCCGATGACCTCTGAAGCTTCTTTTTGCAGATGTCCTGAAAGCCCATCCGTGCCTCCTGCTGTGCTGTCCACGTGTCGGGGGCGTGAGCGACTGCCGACGCTGAGTTGTGGGACACGGAAGGTGCTCGTGTGGGGAGCGATGGCGTAGCGGTTTAGCGAGCTGCACTACGAACCCGGCTAGCAGAGTTCGATTCCCGCTCACGGCCAACGCCAGTGACGATTATCTGAATCGGTCCTGGGCCTCCCCTAAGTCAACTCGGCCTCAGCCATGCTGGCCTACTCGCTAACAGCACTTGCCCCCAACAGTCGGTTAAGGCTATACGGGGTATCTTTGTTTTTGTGTGACAATAAGCACTATCACTCACGCTTTTGAGAGAGGGCTTTTGCTATGATCACCAAATTTAAAAGTGTGGCGTTGGCAACAGCAGAGCTAAACTGGCCCTGGTGATCACGTTTTTTATATCTATTTTCCACTCCTATTGTTTTTTGTATTGTTTGCTGCTGTAACTTGCTTAGCTGCCCCTCCTGGAAACTTATATATAAAAAAAGCTTAATAGCTCATCGGATTTCTCTCATCCAAATAAAGATTCTGATTCTGATATTAAGAATGAAAATTGCTGACCTGCCCCTACTGGACATCAAAAGAGCTTCATAGCTCATCGGATTCCTCCAGGATAAATGAAGATTGTGATTCTGAAACGCATGCATGAAGTGTCCTGCTTTAGACACAGTATTTTAATTTGGAACAGTTGTGTGCGATATTTGGTTCGTCCAGTGTCTGGAGGGCTTGACTATCTGCCAAAGTGTTTTACAAACAATTGAGGTTTACCGTCTCAATGCATCCTGCTTATCTACCAGTCAATTTCAATTGGACCCACTTCGGTATTGCAAAATGTCAGTTTGAAAAATAATTTCACCTTCCTTGACAAGCTGACATTAAGTTATATCAACGCTCATTTTTTTTAACGTAAAGTCGATGTTTTATCTGTTATCGATATGGCATTGTAACTGTACACTGCAGTCAAATTGCGTATCTTTCAAACTGCTGCGATGGTATTTAATGTCGGTCTCGCTGCATGCTCGCATGCACGTTCACCAGCCACGGGGTTGTCTGGTAGCCAGACAGTAATGTACAATAATTGATTCGTGTCTTCCTTGTAGATTTTCTCTCACTTTGATTGACGCGTTGGACACACTTCTGGTAAGTAATATCCACCCGTATGCTTGACAGAAACGGAGCGTGTCATTGGTGTAACCTTTCGCTTTAACTTTGAAAAACACTGGCGGATCACAGTGCTGCACAGTTACGTTATGGTTACAGGTCACAGTGGTGTAATGAATAGACAATTATACTGCTAGGAACCTCCTGGTTACACCAGCCCACAGGGGATTATTGTGTCCGTCCGTCGTGCATCCAAAAATGGGAGGGGTGGGGCTCGGTGGGGAGGGGCTGGGTGGGGAGGGGAGGGGAAGGGTGGGGAGGGGAGGGGCTGGGTGGGGAGGGTGGGGAGGGGCTGGATAGGGAGGGTGGTGAGGGGCTGGGTGGGGAGGGTGGGGGGTGGGAGGGGTGGGGCTGGGTGGGGAGGGGCTGGTCACCCCGTGGTGCCCTTATAAAACTCAACGTTTAACCTACTCACGCCGGCTTGTGCCCGCCCTCGCAGTCGGGCATATTTGCGGAATACACCACGTGGTGCCGCCGTTGACCCTGGCCATTGACCGAGCAACCCAACGTTCCTACCAGCTCCCTCCGCAGGAATGTGTACAGCTACAGCTGTTAGTGTTGCTGGTTAGCGAGCGTGATGTAAAATTCCACCACCTCGGTTGACCGTGCTGGCAGACCCCGAGTCAGATTGCTTGCATGTTTCACCTATGCATAAGTGTCACAAAAACGTATACAGTCCCATCCTTGCTCTTACTCCTCCCCACCCCCCTTTATCTCCTAGCCCTGTACCTCCTCACCTGCGGAACCCCCTCGCTCTCCCCTGTGCCGCGTAGGTTCTGGGAAACACTACCGAGTTCCAGAGAGTCTCTCTCTTTCTTGAGGATGCAATCAACTTTAATCAAGATGTCAACGTGTCCGTGTTTGAAACAAATATCCGTGGTAAGCTACCAAGCTGTGTGATGTGTAAATGTGTCCACGAGGTGTTGATGCATTGCGTGCCTTAAAAGCAGAACACACATCCACACACAGCCCGAGTGGCGAATGTATGCATGTATGTTTAACTTTTTTCCACTGTACGTAGCTAACCGTGCTAATCGGAGGTGCGGTTGGAGAAAGCGGGATCCTATATAATGTGAGTGCATTGACTCCACTATTATAGTCTCTATAGTATCCGTACTTATTATCGGGGTTTACCTGACCAGTGTTTACCTGGAAGTAGCCTCCTGGAAGTACGTACATTCATTTTCACGTGGTAGCATATTTGTCCGATCATCCGCTTTAAACTGCGGTCCTCCACACTACTTAAAAGCAAGTGATGTGTGAAACACTGATAGCAACCCCCCCCCCCGCCCCCATATAAGGATGTATAAGAGGAGTGTTGCTGTAGCGGCAGACGCCCTGGATTGCGTCTCATTGGTGCCGACTGTTTCTCGGCAGTGGTGGGTGGCCTGCTGTCTGCACACCTGCTGTCCAAGCAAGCGGGCGTGGAGCTGGAGGAAGGATGGCCCTGCTCGGGGCCACTCCTCCGCATGGCTGAGCAGGTCGCCAGGAAACTCCTGCCCGGTATAATTTGGTGTTTTGAAACCCGTTCGTGTCGAAAGGTCGCCGCGGATGTTTAAACCCCCTGTTGTTACGGCGACGGTCCTAGTTTTGTGAATATTGAAACGTGCGAGCGAGGCGTTTTGTGGAAAGCTTTCGTCTGTTCATTCGTGAAACACAAATCCCCAGCTGCTGTTCTACTTCAAAGTTCCACTCTTAGAATTCTCCCAACATCTTCGGGCAATGACCTCTGTGTGCCACTGCAATGTTTGTCTCAGTAGCCTGCTCCCTCCGCCATCCTGAACATGTGCCCAGCCATCGCAACCACCTCCGGAATGCATCTTCGACTTTTTTGTGCCGAATTAAATGTCCAAAGTTCGCGAACCCTGTTCTGCCATAACATTTCTTGCATCTTCTGCATGTACCTGTTTTCAAAAGGTATAAACTCTTTTTTTTAGAGTTTACTATCTCGATGCAATCAGCCGATATACATGGCATGGTGGATTAACAAAGGTCTGTACAATTGTATCAGCACATGGGGCCCTCTGGATCAATATCTTCCAGCAGCACCTGTTTAATCAAACAAACCGTGGTCAGCATGTTGCTGATCTTGCAGATCAGGCGATCGAGTTCTAAGCTCTGACTATGAACTTAGAGAGGCTGTGGAAAAATGATTGAAAGCAGGGAAAACGTGTGGGTGCGCGAGTCGAGACGCTGGAAGCAAGTTACAGTAGAATGTGGCGTGAAATGGATTTGTAAGAGCGATGCTGGATTTTCATTGCAATCGTAGAACGCATTCCTACTTACAGCCAAGAGCCAACAACACGAACCCAGAGTGAGAGAACTAATATTTCGGACTTTGGCTCATGGTGTGATGGGTAAATAATACTGCAAAACACGCACACACACAGGCTCACACCAATCAATTCCAACCCCAAAACAAAGTAAATTATTTCTAAGGCCCTTCGAATTATTTGCGTCTTAAGGCGCGATTTGAAAAAAGAGAGGGGGAGTCAGCGGAGCGAACGTCCAGAGCAGCGTTCTTAATTGCAAGACCTGCAGGCCACTGGAGGCCCCTGGTTGCCTTTAGTGCACCCCCTGAAGTGCAGCGCCCGACAATACACAAATGTGAAAACAGCCCCATCGTGCCATCAAACCCAATGGTTTCAAATGTGTGGCAGTCCTCACACTGATGTGGCCCCCCCTCTGAAAATTAGTGAAGAATACTGGTCCAGTGGAAGTGAATTCTACAGCCTGGGGGTCACACTATAAGAGGCCTGGTCACCCACCATCATCACCATACAGAGATGCAACCTCGGCACACAGCAGCAGCACACGCCGCTGGCTTATGTCGCCATGTGCAGCGTTCCAGACGGCGACGGGCATGCCATACGGCACGGTGAACCTGCGGCACGGCGTTCACCCCACTGAGACGAGCGTCACCTGCACGGCTGGCGTGGGAACCTTCATTCTGGAGTTCTCCGCGCTCAGCCGGCTCACCGGAGACCCCGTCTTTGAGGACACCGCTCGCAGAGCTCTGCTTTCCTTGTGGACAACACGCTCAGAGATCGGTTTGGTGGGTGCCCGCCCCACTTTATGTGGCTTGAACCGCGATACTTTATTTTTATGGATTTACAGAGATGCCTTTATGGCCAAAGCCGTTGATGTCACCACCACTGCTGCACCTCATTGCCAATGCTTTTCACCCTTTGCCGGATCCCACAGTTGCTGCACAGTAGGCATGCAGTGACCTCCATCTTCTGCCCTGACAGTCTTATCCGACCATATGGTCTTAAGTCTTTTCCTTGGTTTGTCAGATTTGTGGATACTACTCCAATGCCTGTCTCAGTAATTGGCCTTCCCCCATCCTGCACACGCGTGTCCCACCCAGTGCCAACCTTTTACGTCGAATCATCTCGACAACATTCACCTGCTGTGTTCTCTTTCCCGGAATTTCACAGCATCTGTCTCGGGCACCTGTGCTCAAATGCCAACAACTATTCCTTTGAGCTGCTTAGCATCCAGCTCTGATAAATACAGAAATAGAGATGAGTGCTTCCGCTTTGAAACAATGCAAAGTAGAATTTACGCTTTACCTGAATTTAATTTTCATGAAAAAAATAATGTATATAATTTATTTCTCTGAATCGGTGGCAGCTGATGCACATCACACCCTATCACCTATTGACGAATGCGTCACCGAGAAGAGGTTTGTGTCTCGGTTGCAGGGGTTTAGATATTACTCTGGGTTGTGCCAACAGTTCTTACCTTTCCTACCATGAAGGGGCCTTGCCCTGTTTGAATGTCTAAATAAGGCTACTGCCAAGTGCTTCTTTATGCGACCAGAAAACTCGGGGTGGGAGTGGTATCATACAACAGACCTGACTCCCTTTTGATAACTTGAGGGACCCATCTGGAGTCACGACCCACGCTATGAGAACGCTGCTCTGGTTGTTTTCGTCTGCTCTCGTCACGAGTGCGTCTCTCCGTGTGAGATTTTTAGTTTCCCATCATATCGTGAGCCACTGTAGAATCATTGTGCAGATGTTTATGGTAAAAAGTGCTTCTCGTTAATGGCCGCTTCACATTCTAGAACACGTGGGACTTTCTTTCGGGTTGTGCTTGACCGCTGCAAAAAGGTTTACCCTACCCATGTCCTCCTGTCCTGACATCAACCTGCATCCTGCACTGGTCCCCAACCTTTTTGGCACCAGGGACCGGTTTCGTGGAAGACGATTTTTTCACGGACCGGGGAGGGGGGGGTTCATCATTGGGTCTTTCTCCGTTTTCAAAGAAGCTCTCCAGCGACGTTTGTTTTTGACTAATTTTGGCTAGGGTTAGCTTGTGGGCTTACCAAAACTGTGACTGAGACAAGTGCGCAGTGCGAGAAAGAGGCGCGGACGGAAGTGGTAAATAATAAAATCATGGGGGCTGGCCACGCGCGGACTCACCGCTCCCACCTCCTGCTGCTGTGCGGCCCGGTTCCTAACAGGCCACGTACCGGTAGTGGTCCGCGGCCCGGGGGTTGGGGACCCCTGCTCTACGGCATATCTTGTCCAAAAAGGTGCAGAAAAGGTGCAAGACAGTAGCGAACCTCCTTCATTTTCATTTTCTGCACAGACTTTGGCCAGTTTGAACCACTTTCAATGAATCACTTGGAAGATAAAAGTTGTGGCCACTGAAGGAGAGGTAAAATGCTTGGCACGTTGCAGTACCTTTTAATCTTCACAGAGTAAACTAAGGCATTTATTTTTGGAGGTATTCGCATGTAAAAGTTTGTGGCTATTATCCATTAAATTGTCACCATGAGTGTGTGTGTTGTCCATCTTAAAGGGAACGATAGTCTAAATCCACCCGTGAGATGCACGTTATATGTAAATTAAAAAAGCGAAAAATATGTATGCATCCTTGCATCGTCTTTGCAGCCAACACGTGGCCTTTGTATATTTTATTTGTTCTCACCTTTAGGTGGGCAACCACATCGATGTGAAGACGTCGGCCTGGGTCGCGCAGGATGCGGGGATTGGAGCTGGAATCGATTCATACTTTGAGTATTTAGTCAAAGGGGCCATCCTGCTGCATGAACCAGAGTACATGGAAATGTTCAAAGGTATTTCCATGGTGACTGGAGGAATGAACACGATGCTTTGGGCATGCTATAGTGATTGTGACTACAGTTGATCATCGATAATCAGGCACGCGATTATCCGGCTTCCAACATCATTCTGTCGGTCCCGGGCCGATGTGGCAAAACTGCTCCAAAGGCTGTACCAGTACCTGGTTGGGTTGGGTGTTAACTTATATTGTTAATCAACCAGGTAGCATGTTGACTGTTATGTTAGCCAACTCTCTGTGTTGTATTGCATTATATTTCTAAGTTTACTAGGTTTGTTTTTTCTCATTCATTCGTATCTGATGATGATCGCTTGTGTTGCAATCGAAACGTCGTATTCTATTTAATTTATTTTCTTTCTGCGTGACTTTACCGAAAGAACCAAAAAGTAATTCCTGCAATCACGAAAGCTCCAAATCAAGTTTAATGAACAGTACAGTCAATGGTTTGCATGCGTTTCGTTGCAGAGTATTCGGAAGCAATTGAGAAGTACATGAAGCACGATGATTGGTATGTGTGGGTTCACATGAGCAAGGGGACCGTCTCAATGCCAGTATTTCAGTCGCTGGACGCCTATTGGCCAGGACTACAGGTACGCACACTCTACATCACAGTGGGACCCCCACTGGTCCTTGTGGAGGTAGTTCCTCGAGGTCCAGGGTACGATACTTCGTGGGCTCAGGTTGTGTGTGTGTGTGCAATAAGGTGGATTATAACATCAGGCAAGACAATTACTAATGTTTTTAGCTGTTTATTTATCTGAAAAAAATAACGTAAAATTTGTCCCCCAATGAATAAACCGTGACACAACGGCATGATCCCAACAATAATGGAAGTTGATTAAAAAAAAACTAATTTCTGGTGAGAAATGTATGTACTGCTTGTGTCCCATTTTCAGAGTTTGGTGGGAAATATCGACAGTGCCATGAAAACCTTGCACAACTACCATCAAGTGTGGAGGCAGTTCGGTGGCCTCCCAGAGTTCTACAACATCCCGCACAGCACCACCGTTGACAAGCGGGAGGGGTACCCCCTCCGCCCCGGTGAGCACGGGGTTGGCTGCTTCTGCATGTAACGAAGGGTTGATTAATTAACGTCAATTGAACTGGTGGACGATTGCTGTTGGAATTACAGAATCAGAATATTCATACTGGAGGAATCTGATGAGCTATAAAGCTCCTTTTCACAGATGTCCAGTAGGGGCGGGTAAGAACGTTACTACAACATACAATACAAACATGACAGTAGCGCAAAGTACAGGATAGGTAAACAAATCACCCACAACGCATACATATACAACTAAACCATCCCCTTCCTACCAGGCAAAGCCCACCAAGGTATTAACTTATTTTTCAGAAGCGACCTGGCCACAAAATGATAGCTCAACAAAGTGGCTTATCATTTGGACATTTATAGCAGCAAAATAATCGAAATAATCTCAATGCATGTTCCTAAATGTGGAGGGAAAAACTGGAGGACCCGGACAAAAAAAATCCACACAACCATGGGGAGAACATGCAAACTCCAAATATATAGGCATCAGGGTCGTGATCAAACTCCTGACCTGTATAACGGGCGAGGAGATAACATCACACCACCGTGGTGCCCCTTAAATAAATTAATTAAATATGTTCAAATTGCATAATCAATTCCCAAGCTTCTGAAAGCCAATAAAACAACAACAAAAAACGGTTCCAGATTCGACCTTTGTACGATTCCCATGATAAAAGGCTCTGACCGTTTGAATGAGAGTGAGGTGGTCTGTAATGCTCGGCTCGTGCAGTAGAATGGTATTCCATACTATCTTATCTAGGCTGCAGCTATTCTTAGCTTAACTATTCCAGATTCAAGCTGGCCAGAATGGTGATTTCATGCCAATTCCCGCCAGCCAGAATCGTGCTTGATAGGTGGTGCTGATGCTCGTGCAATGGGCCTGATGCCGCCCGGATTCTCCCATGGCGTTCAGGCGGGAAAAGTGAGCCCGTGGATCTTCCCGGCATCGCCGTTGTTAAAAAACATACGACCACCGATGCCTGTGTAATACGTTTCAGTGGCGATGCCGGTTGATACGGGCTGGCTGGTGTCGACTGGAATCGTACTTCTCGGCGAGAGTTCGGAGCGGACGTTTTGTCTCGTGACGTGATGCTTGAAGCACGATTGGAATATTGTCAGCCACAGGACAATGCCTCTGTCATGTCTCCACCTTTTGAGGGCGGCACGCCCCCTGCTGCCTGTGCTGTGGTTGATAATCGTATGCAGCGCTTGTGTTAATTCCGCAGAGCTTGTGGAAAGTGCCATGTACCTCTATCGAGCGACCAAGGACCCCTTTCTGTTGGAGTTGGGTCAGGACATCCTTGAGGCCATTGAGAAGAATGCTCGCGTGGAGTGTGGATATGCAACGGTAAAGGATTTCTTTCAGGATGTTGGTTACAATTGGGCTCATGAACAAGGCATCAGAAATCCTATTTACCACATTTCCAATGGGTGTATATGATTTATCACTGCCTCTATTCCAAGAATAATTTTCAAGTGCAAGACAATCGCTAAAAAATACCCCTGCTATCAAGTTATTTGCATCAGATGTAACTAATCATAAAGATGCACAAAGGCTTTGCATAGAAGGAATACATTTAACACTTCACTCAGAATAAAGGATGTTGTTAATTATTAGACTTGGTGAGTGGAATAATTGTATACACCACTCACCAATCTGTCCACACACTTACATTGTGTTTTTCTTTGTTTTCGTGAACCTGACTCCATTGTTACTAGACTTGGGTGAGTTGGAATCATTCTTAGTGTTCATAACTGTTCCCAATGAAGTTGTGTGAATTTCTACCGATGAGTATTTTAGCACAAACACGGCCGAGCTCTCCCTATTGAGCATCAGTCGTGAATAAACACTCATTCATTTTCTGCAAAAATGTTATTTTATTCTGGAAGTTTTGACCGCACGTATACAGTAACATCACACTCACCATAAATACACCGATTTAACAACGTGATTTGTTTAACCGTTAACAAACAGTAAACTTTGTATATTTGAGAGCCTGTTCCAAAAGTCTTGATTATTTGCAGGTAAAAAATGTTCAAGATCAAAGGCTGGAAAATCGAATGGAATCATTTTTCTTGGCCGAGACCACAAAATATCTCTATCTCCTGTTCGACCCGGACAACTTCTTACACAATAGTGGTGAGGTATCGGACAGTGTGTCCACTCCTTTTGGAGAATGCATCCTCGGCGCAGGGGGCTACATCTTTAACACAGAAGCCCACCCCATCGACCCAGCGGCTCTGTATTGCTGCAGTCATTTTAAAGACGAAACTTTGACCCTGAAGAGATTGTTTGAAGAAGCTGTGAATGCAGCGCCCAAAGAAAATGCAGGTGGTTACACACCGTCAGACTGGAGTCAGGTTGACAAAGACAAACACAATGTAAGTGTGTGGACCAATAGTAGCAGACCTCAAGAAGCGGGGGCCAGAAGGAAATCTGGCCATAGAAGAACGGCCATAATGGGATCGCCAAGCCAGCCATACACCTCAAAGCTGTCTGTTTTAGGACAAATGTTTGTTGACAAGGAATAAAAATCCTGTATCATTACTTGATGCTTGTTCTGAATGTTGCAGTAACTACCATAGACTAAGCCAGACACTGCCACTGATTTGTGTTTTATTGGACTAGGATTTGGTTTGCCCTTTAAGAGTAACGTGGCTGCTTTTGCACTGGGTATATAACCCAAAACGTACACGGTTTTACTCGCAGCACAAATGTCTCGCTATAATAATAGCAACTGACATTTTAATGATGAACGTACAAAGCAAACAAAAGTTAATCTTATTCAATTTGAAAAAAGTTCCAGTTTTAATAAAAAAAAACTCCCAATGGAAGAACAGAACTGATGCCATTGTAGGCTATTCTGAAAACAATGTAAAATTAACATTTCCAATATAAAAAAAAATGGGTTTAAATAAAACCTTCCGGACACTTGAAAGGTAGCATTCGGGTGACTTGACTTCTCGCTACAGTCGTAGTCGTAGGAGTTTTAGTGTGGCCTGAATCCAGAATCACTCCAGCAGGATGACACCGCTGCCTTTGCTCCGTTTGGGCTTGCCGCAGCTCCCGTCGGAAGAGGCACGCTTGCTCGCGTTCTTCGCGCCGCTAGCTGTGCCGCTCGCTGTGTGACCAGAGTCCGCCTGTTTAAACACGTGGTAAAGACACCGTTACAATCATACAGGCTTCAGGCCTGTTATGCGAATCACGAATGAGCATTGCTGGGTTCGCGAGCGCACTTTTATCGATTTACTTAAAACACCGAGACCTCGCACCGACCTCCAACACGCAGGGAGGTCTGGCTCTGAGGATGCAAAGTCATCCAGGTAATTCAAGCGAAGGCAAGGGCAGTGAACAACTCTGGGAGGAACAAAATCTTTATACCAACATGCCGTGCATATTACAGGCTGTGTATGAGTTAGTATTGTGGTTTTTAATATTCCAAGGCTTTTAAAAGCCATATAACTTTATAATTTATATATTTTTTGAGGCATTGCATTTGAATAAAATGCCTTGGCAAAATTAAAGTTATTCCACTTATGAGCTGGAATTTGTTTTTGTATCATTCCCTTCATCTAGAGCTAGGAGAGAGCCTGGTGATGGAAGGCCTAAATAAGAGGGTAGAATACTTGCGGAAAGTTATAAAACTATCCTTTTAAACTTTTTCTTATTTTACCAGGGAAGGCCCACTGAGCTATATAGCTCTTTTTCAGAAGCAACCTGGTTGCAAACGATAGCTCAACAAATACGGACAAGCACTAAGCGCATGTTTCTAAAGAGTTGTCTTACGGTGCCCTATGGGAATTGGCTTCAATAACCAGAGAATGGCCGCGAGTGAGTAAGTGCACGAGTTAGCAAAAGGCACCTTGGCTGGAGTTTTTGTAGAACTGGGAAGCCACAGGGAGAGGGCATGGTCAGGGTCGTCTAGTAGCCGCGCCTTTTGACCCACCACCAGGTACGAGATGGTCGCGTAGGGCGTGTAGCTGTACTCTTCCCTGCACAACAACAACAAGGTGAGATGTTGACGCCTCTACCGACCTTGTGGGGGACTTTATAGGCTACATTTCTCACCCGAGCTGCAGATGGAACAAAAGGAATAATTTTATTGAGTCACCTTATTTTATAAAGGACAATCTCGTTCCTCAAATGTGGCACCAAAAATGAGTATAACAGAGATTCATGTATTTAATATTGTCATCAAAGTTAAACAATTCTCAAAGCCAAATTAATCTAATTGCAAAATGTGGTTGTAAGGCTTGTTCTTCAACCTACCAGTGAGCTGAAACTTATTGTTGTGTTAAGTGCTTGTACACGTAATTAGCTGAAGGGTTTTACTATGTGGTTTAACCCAGAAAAACTATTTGGTGAATTGCAATATTGGCTGGGAAAACCTACGAGTAAAAACGTGTTTGAATGATAAAAGGGTGCACGGGAAAACAGGCCCGTGCACGGCAGCAGGGTCCGAAAGAGAACCGGAGTGAAATAATCACGAATCCAACTCCACTCCTCTTACCTGATGTAGCCAAGCATCAGCAACTGCAGCACGATGATCTCGCAGCCCTGCTGAGACAACGACGGAGTTGGCACCGACGAGACTCGGAGCTTCACCGCACCCCGACCCTGCCAGGCCTCGAGGAGCCGCAGTGGCGTGAGCTTCTCCTGCTTCTGCTGGGCGTGCCGCAGGATGGCGATGAGGCCGCGTGCGTGCCGTACCACGCTCGCCTCTTCCGCCACTACGCACACACGTGGAGAGATTCCACAACGACACACCACTCACCTGCATCACTATATGGTGGCGAGATGTTAACTACCTCGCCTGGTATACAGGAGGTCATGGGTTTGATCCTGACCCTGACGCCTCTATATGTGGCTAGGTCGCTTATAAAAATGAATTATATAGCTCAGTGGGCCTTGGCTGGTAAAAAAATAATATAGTTTATAGTGTTTAGTTTCCTATACACGTGGAGAGAATGCACAATGACATGCCACTCACCACCACTACACACACGAAGAGATTCCATAACATGCCACTCGCCTCCACCACTACATTCACACGTTCAGAGAACTCCCCACAAAACAACATGACAATTTGCACTGACCAGCTTCCCTCACGAGCTATAGTTATGGGGAGACCCTCATCTGGCAGTGGCTTGACAAAAGTACTGTTGTGGGAGCGGTAGTGTAGAGGTTAGCGCGCTGCGTTACGAATCTGACGACCCGAGTTCGATTCTCGCTCAGGGAAACACCAGTGATGACTATCTAAACTGGTCCTGGGCCTCTTTTCGATCGACTCAGTCTCAAATGAGACCTGGTGCGGTGTGTAAACATTGCCACTAGGGGACAAAGGCAGTCAGGCGTGGTGCTGGCTATCCCACCCCCTCGGGTGTCGTGCCGGCCTTCATAGGTGCTCTCAAACAGCACTTGCCCCAACAGCATGTTAAGGCTATACGGGGGTTCTTTGTCTATACGTACTGTACATGACTTGACACACGTGGCTGCATAACTCCCAAGTGCTGTCATATTACAGATCCAATATCCAATGTTAACAACAGTTCAGACCTGTCCTATTGTAATTTTAAATGTGTAGCCAGATGTACATGCAGGTCTGCGTATAGAAAATTCCATATGTATATACGCGTGTGTGTGTATAGCGAGAGCCAATGGGAGCCTACCGACACCCCCTCTGCAATGGTCGCACATGCGGTCGCACTGTGCGGCGTCCCACACCTCGTCAAAGTGCTCGGCGATCAGACTCCGCCGACACCTGTGCAAACATCGTCATTGCCATCACTTTCAGACAATGTCAGTGGAACTGAGATAAAAATAAACTTAATATGTAATCGAATCGCAAATTGCCACATCACTGCGATTTAAATTGTATTCCAGTTGTGTTACTCTTTCATTTTGGAATATTATTTATGTATCTGAATATTTTCTTTTAATTAATACATTTTGGGTTAGGCCACTTCTGAACTGGACAACATTTGGGTCGTAAGACCCTCTACCACCCGAAAATGCAAACAAAATTACGTTGTCAAGGGTACGAGCATATAACGCACTTATGAGCTGAACTAAATTCAGCAATTGGCTACAACGTTTTGCTGGAAACTCTGCGAAGCATCCTTAGAACAAAATCCTGATCGTGTGGTTTGTCCCTTAGCTTCGGTTACTGTTGTTGCTGTTTGCACTATGAATCCTGCTTTTACTGTGTTATATACATTATTACATTTCTGCTGTTCATTAATTTACCACTGTCTTGTTGCATGTTAGAATCTGTTTGTTTTTACCACGTTTGCTATTATGTGAAATTATTTTTCAAAATTCTTGCCGAAAACAGAGTATCACCCCGTGTGATATCAACAAACTACTTCAGTTGGCTCTTATCATCACTGGGAACGTTGCATCTTGTCAAGTGGCCTTGGAGAGATATGTTCCTCTCATGCCAACACAGTATGCTATATTCAGTAGAAACATGCTAAATGACTTAAATTTTGATTTAAAGCTTTCGTGACTGCAGTAATTCATATTCTTAGTTTTTTCGGTAAAGTCACGTTGAAGAGAAACAACAAAATAACAAAATATATATAAAACAATAAAAAATTCTCACGACGTTTCGACCATAACTCAAACGGTCATCATCAGGTGTGTCGGTTTGCATAAATGTATTTTGAAAACGGCATATTTATTTATTTATATATTAAAAAATAACGTTTGCGTCACGCGCAGCGATTGGCAGTTTGCCCAGGACTAGTCCATCTATTTTTTGAAAAGAGGAGGGGGGAGACGAAATTTGTTTTTATGTATGCTGTCTGAAAGCCACTGTAAGCGTGAACAATCAATCAAGAACTGAAATGATTTATCAAATCTTTCCAATGATTGCTAAGATAGAATCCATCTTCTCGGTTGAAATTGTCTCTGTGCTTGTATATGTGGATAGCCTCATGAACGAATCTCTCATGGAAGCCAGATGGCTTACAAAGAACCTCCGTCTTGGAAAAGTCAATGGCATGTGAGCCTACTGAATTAGAACAATGATCTGCTACGGCCGAGGTGTTGGTCCTACCGTGTTTAAGGTCTGCTTTATGTTCACGAATGCGGTCCGAGATATGGCGTTTGGTTTCTCCAATGTAACTACTACCACAGAGGCAACTTAGTTTGTAGACACCAGGGTATTGTATGTCCAGAATCACATCTTTTACAGACGGAACCAGATCACGGATTTTATGTAATGTGTTGAAACGGACCTGGATCTTGTGTTTATTCAAGATTTTGGAGATCTTTTTTGTGATCCCAGCAATGTAGGGTAAAGTGATGGTTTTGAAAGGCTCCTCAAGAGGGTTCTTCTTCATGGTTTGAGTGATAGCTTTGCGGATTGTATAGTCGGAGTAACCATTAGCCCTAAGAGCTTGGTGTACGTGCTTGAGTTCACTGCTTATGTGTTCCTGGTCGGATATGCATTGGGCTCTATGATACAGAGTCTTGATGAGAGAATTCTTCTGTGATGGATGGTGGTGGGAATCCGGTTTCAGATAAGCATCCGTATGGGTAGCTTTCCTGTAGACAGAGTGGCTCATTGAACCATCAGGTCTCTTTTTAATTAGGACATCCAAAAAAGGTATCTTGCCATCTATTTCGACTTCCATGGTAAATCTGATGGCTGGGTGTATGGAATTGATGTGGTCGAAGAATTGGTCTAGAGCAGGCCGGCCATGTGGCCAGATGACAAAAGTGTCATCCACGTACCTCTTCCATAAGGTTGGGCGCAGAGTGGCAGTCTGGATGGCGTCAGTCTCAAATTTCTCCATGAAAATGTTAGCTATAACTGGAGAAAGGGGGGAGCCCATTGGGGTGCCCTCAGTTTGTTTGTAGAAAGTTCCATTCCAAGTGAAGTATGTATTGGTTAAACAGTGTCTCACCAGGGGGGGTACCTCAGTGTTTAGTCCTTGATGAACCAAGTCTTCAATGATTGCAATGGTGTCAGGTACAGGAACCTTGGTGAATAAGGAAACTACATCAAAACTGACAAGCAGGTCGTCTGGGGACAGGGAAATACCCTTGATTGTTGATACCAGGTGAGTAGAATTTTGTACCGCAGAGGTGGTCTTTCCAGTGAAAGGACGCAGGATTTCAGACAAAAAACGAGCTAGTTTGTAGGTGGGGGAGCTGATAGTAGAGACTATGGGACGAAGAGGTGTATCAACTTTATGTATTTTTGGTAAGCCGTATAATCTTGGTGGCCTGGCAGCAGAAGGTTTCAACGAAAACTGTTTAGATTGATCAATTAATGCGGTTGAATCAGAAATTATTTTGTTATTTTGTTGAAAAAACTAAGAATATGAATTACTGCAGTCACGAAAGCTTTAAATCAAAATTTAATCGCCTCTACGGGGAGGGTTTTCACATAACTTTAAGATCCTTCAACAAACTCCGGGATAAGAAATCTCAGCTGATCGAGTCTCTCACCTTCCTGAAGAGATGCCGCGACTCTGGGGTAATACCAATCGCATTTACACTCACCTCTGCTACTGTAACTTCTTCTAATGCGAAACGAATTCTTTTCAAAACTAGCTTAGCTCTTATCTCAGAAAAAATCAGACTTATACGCACAGAACTAGATCAGTTAGACAAGACACTCTACAAATCACACTTATCATTGACGGCAATAATGTCCACATCGGATTGGGAACATGTAGACAATATGACTGCCTCTTCAGCTGCTACTATGTCGACCAAATGTAAGGAAAACCTGATTTCCAAATTTAACCTCCTCTTCAACAAAAGACCGGACCCACACACCAAAAAGTTAGACGTTAATAAAGTCGTAATTAATCGCAGTAACAGTTCTATTTCCGATGGTCTGAAATCCGTTTTAGCTAAAGGTCTAAACTTTGCAGTCACACCTAAACACATACCAGTTAATGATATAATTGCCCAAGTAGACGTTGCTCTCAGGGGCCTGGGTCACATCGCTGCAGACGTAGCAAGATCTGAAATCGCTGCAACCCTCAAAAACGCTAAGATGCCAGCTAGCAACCTCAGCAAAGATGAGCGTTTTGAATTATATAAATTAAAAAAGAGGAATGATATTGTAGTTCTCTCAGCTGACAAAGGCAATGCTACTGTCATCATGGATAAAATAGAATACAACAACAAAATTAAAAAATTACTCGACGATGGTAGTTATACAAAAATAAAAAGAGATCCCACCAACAGCCTCGTCACACAAACCAACAAAATAATTTCTGATTCAACCGCATTAATTGATCAATCTAAACAGTTTTCGTTGAAACCTTCTGCTGCCAGGCCACCAAGATTATACGGCTTACCAAAAATACATAAAGTTGATACACCTCTTCGTCCCATAGTCTCTACTATCAGCTCCCCCACCTACAAACTAGCTCGTTTTTTGTCTGAAATCCTGCGTCCTTTCACTGGAAAGACCACCTCTGCGGTACAAAATTCTACTCACCTGGTATCAACAATCAAGGGTATTTCCCTGTCCCCAGACGACCTGCTTGTCAGTTTTGATGTAGTTTCCTTATTCACCAAGGTTCCTGTACCTGACACCATTGCAATCATTGAAGACTTGGTTCATCAAGGACTAAACACTGAGGTACCCCCCCTGGTGAGACACTGTTTAACCAATACATACTTCACTTGGAATGGAACTTTCTACAAACAAACTGAGGGCACCCCAATGGGCTCCCCCCTTTCTCCAGTTATAGCTAACATTTTCATGGAGAAATTTGAGACTGACGCCATCCAGACTGCCACTCTGCGCCCAACCTTATGGAAGAGGTACGTGGATGACACTTTTGTCATCTGGCCACATGGCCGGCCTGCTCTAGACCAATTCTTCGACCACATCAATTCCATACACCCAGCCATCAGATTTACCATGGAAGTCGAAATAGATGGCAAGATACCTTTTTTGGATGTCCTAATTAAAAAGAGACCTGATGGTTCAATGAGCCACTCTGTCTACAGGAAAGCTACCCATACGGATGCTTATCTGAAACCGGATTCCCACCACCATCCATCACAGAAGAATTCTCTCATCAAGACTCTGTATCATAGAGCCCAATGCATATCCGACCAGGAACACATAAGCAGTGAACTCAAGCACGTACACCAAGCTCTTAGGGCTAATGGTTACTCCGACTATACAATCCGCAAAGCTATCACTCAAACCATGAAGAAGAACCCTCTTGAGGAGCCTTTCAAAACCATCACTTTACCCTACATTGCTGGGATCACAAAAAAGATCTCCAAAATCTTGAATAAACACAAGATCCAGGTCCGTTTCAACACATTACATAAAATCCGTGATCTGGTTCCGTCTGTAAAAGATGTGATTCTGGACATACAATACCCTGGTGTCTACAAACTAAGTTGCCTCTGTGGTAGTAGTTACATTGGAGAAACCAAACGCCATATCTCGGACCGCATTCGTGAACATAAAGCAGACCTTAAACACGGTAGGACCAACACCTCGGCCGTAGCAGATCATTGTTCTAATTCAGTAGGCTCACATGCCATTGACTTTTCCAAGACGGAGGTTCTTTGTAAGCCATCTGGCTTCCATGAGAGATTCGTTCATGAGGCTATCCACATATACAAGCACAGAGACAATTTCAACCGAGAAGATGGATTCTATCTTAGCAATCATTGGAAAGATTTGATAAATCATTTCAGTTCTTGATTGATTGTTCACGCTTACAGTGGCTTTCAGACAGCATACATAAAAACAAATTTCGTCTCCCCCCTCCTCTTTTCAAAAAATAGATGGACTAGTCCTGGGCAAACTGCCAATCGCTGCGCGTGACGCAAACGTTATTTTTTTTATATATAAATAAATAAATATGCCGTTTTCAAAATAAATTTATGCAAACCGACACACCTGATGATGACCGTTTGAGTTATGGTCGAAACGTCGTGAGAATTTTTTATTGTTTTATATATATTTTGTTATTTTGTTGTTTCTCTTCAACGTGACTTTACCGAAAAAACTAAGAATATGCTAAATGACGTGAATATACAAATCTAATTTTTTTGTGTGTAGTCATTGATGACTGGGCTGAGACTATCAACTCACTGTGATTAAGATCTGGTTCAATCATGGTTGGCAACCCGGATTTGAACCTCGATAGTGCTGGCTCAGTGCTCTGACATAGAATTGGCCCTGTGAGCCGCTACGCTCACATCCAGCTCATGTCCGTAACTCTCAATTTGAGCGTGCGTTTGAGGACATCACAGCCAAGGGACTTTCGAGGTGGCACCTGTTGTAAGTCTGACAGTACGCCACCATCCCGTAGAGCTTCTCCTGGCCCGTGCGCTCCATGGACACCATCTGGCTCTGCCGGAACACGTCCGGAAAGCTGTAGTAAAGCACGCAGTCCGCTGGGGCACCATCCCGCCCTGCAGGTCGAGATGGGAAAGCGTGGTTTATGATGGCCTTGTTTAGAACAGCAAGAAGGCACTTCTACTAAGAACAAATAAGATTAACATTTATTTATACTGGAAGTACAGCAAAGCACAAAACCAATACAAACGTAAAGTACAATTACAACGTCACGAGAAACCGATATCTCGATAATCGTCGTAGTGTTAAATTGGTATTGCATTGATATTGTAGTTACAAATTTATATCATACGGTATGGTAAAAAAATAGTCTACGTAATGGTACACATGGCGGCCCACAATAGGGGTTGCGAGTGAGACACATCATCACCTGCCCGGCCGCTCTCCTGATAGTAGTTCTCCATGGACTTGCTCAGTGAGTGATGGATCACAAAGCGCACATCCGGCTTGTCTATGCCCATGCCAAAGGCCACGGTTGCCACCACAACCTGCGTGCAGCAAATTGTCAGTTAACTTTCAAAGCAAGTTAACTCCATTAAAACATTTGTAGTGACTGTGAATGTCACTGTGTGGTGCCGGGCTTGTGAGGCCACGGCAGATAATATATTGTCATTATGTGCAGCCCGGTTACTGGGCGTGGTACCAGCCCTAGCGGGGCTTGGGTGAGCGCTGGTTAGCGCAGAGGCACCACGTACAGTGTGCGGTGCGGGCTCCCAGTGAGGGAGCGAGAGAGAGTGTCAGCCAGCCGGGGTTACGTTGGGGCATGACACGCTGGGTGACCTGCCGACACGTGACCGGTTGATATTGGAGGGGGGCCACCGGTGGACGGAGGCCGCTGGGTGGTCACGTGGTATAGAAGAGCTTTTGGGAGCCTTCGGGAAAGGGCCAGAGAGATGGGAAGGTGGACGGGGCGAGAGGTGGAGCCAGCCCCAGCCCGGGCTGATATAACGGGGGCCCCGTGTGGGGCTCGGGGTTCTTGACTGTTGGTGAGTGAAGATCCACGTCGGGTTGAAGAAGCCTCTAGCCACGCGGTCCGGGACCCAGCTCGTGGTCCGGACCGGGATTGCGGGACCTTGCCTAGTTCTGCCGTAGCGTGGTTAGATGGGCGTTCAACACCCGAGTGTAGGTTACGTTATGTTGTGTTGAGTTGATGTCATAAATAGTGTTGATCCTAAGACAATGTCTACAACTCAATTGGACTCACTACACATTTACAGCATTTCACTGGTCAATAAAGGCAAAACTAAAGCTGTGATTTTTTCGTAAAGCTTTGGTGCAACCTTTGGTGCCATCTCACCACCATCACCCCCACCACCAAGGCATGAACGCCAGCATTCATTATTGTGCTACTTCAAAACACGTATTAACTCTATCAGAACTTCAATAGTGCTGTATGTTGCTGGCAGTTTGGCGTTTTGGGCCTGTTCTGAGCACGGGCGCCAATGTGGAGAGATGTTAACTATCTCGCCTGGTATACAGCAGGGTCATGGGTACGATCCCGACTCTGATGCCTGCATATTTGGAGTTTACATGTTCTCCCCGTGGTCATGTGAATTTTTCTCCAGGTCTTCCGGTTTCTCCCTCCACATTTAGAAACGTGTGTTTAAGTGTAGTTGGCTGCTATATATTTACATGATAAGCCACTTCATTGCACTATCATTTGTGGCCATGTCGCTTCTGAAAAAGAGCTATACAGCTCAGTGGGCCATACCTAATAAAATAAAACATATATTCAAACTTTAATTTAAAAAGCGTGTATGCAGGTTTCAAGTACAGGACTAAGTGTACTTCTGACTGGACAAAGTGTACTTCTGATTGCTTCATAGGCAAAATATGCAGGCCTCACAACCTACGTCTTTAGCAAGTGTTCATCATTTTGTCAGAGGCATTTCATTCCAGAAGCATTTGCTATGTATTTTACTTCTTGAATTTAACCTTTTACTCATTGATTTTAAGTAGAGGCCGACCAAAACTGAATTTCTGGTTTCGGCGGAAAATGAAACCAGACCGAAAGTTAAAAATTGACTTTCGGTTGAAACCGAAAGTAAACCGAAAGTTAAAAATTAACTTTCGGCCGAAACCAAAAGTATGCCGAAAGAGGCCATTTGTCAACTTTCGGCGCCGAAACCAAATTTCGGTCGGCCTCTAATTTTAAGTCGAGTAGCTTAAACCACCGAGCATTCCTCACTCTTGTTCATGTGACCAGGCCATGCATTTCATGGCTGTGCACCCTTGTACATTATCAAAAGCATCTCATATCCTTTACAAACGAAAACAAATAATAAGTGATGCAATAATAATAACCGCTTCCTCACCACATTACACCCGTGCTTTGTTTTACAATGGTTCCACCTGTCACGTGACGCTGTTGACTCAAGTCATTGGTCATTGCTCCCTTTATTGAAATCACCGACCTACATGGGCAACCTATATATCTATATATAAGATATTTAGTTAATCAGGAAGGGCCCAATAAGCTGTGAGGCTTAATTCTAGAGGTGTCTTGCGACGGTAGAGATGTTATACAGACCTGCAGGCTATCTACAGACTGTCTTATACAGGCCAGAGGGACCTAGGGAGGCCTAGTCCCTACCCCGTGATGAAGGTGGCATGGTATGGAAGCCACCAGTGAGAAATAGCGAGGATAAGTGGAGTCTTTGACTGGCGATAAGTGGAGTCTTTGACTGGCGGTGCACGCTGCCGAAGCGCCGGTGTATGGAGTAATCGTCACCTGCAAGCGGTTGCTGGTCCAGTGGCGGTGCAACCTGCTACGGCGATCAGCTGGTATGTCGCTGTGGTAAGAGCCAGCACCAACGCCCAAACTAGTGAGAGCTGCTGCCACTTCCTCGGCGTCTTTTCGTGAGAAACAGTACACGATACCTGGGCATGACAACAAAGACAAAGATCCCCTGTATATCCTTAACAGACTGTTGGGGCAAGTGATGTTAGCGAGCACCCTATGAAAGCAGGCACGGCATGCAGGGGGTAGGTGGCCAGCACTATGCCCGGCCGCCTTTGTCTCCCCAGTGGCGATGTTTACAAACCACACCAGGTACTCATTTGAGGCTGAGTCGATCTAGGGGAGGTCCAGGACTGGTTCAGATAATCCTCACAATGTTGCCAAAATTGCCCGTTTTTATATGCACGATAAATCCAAATGATTTAAATAAAGGCAATATAAATAAAGTGTGCTGCAACCACTATTGCTGTGGGACACAATGAGTACCTGACTGGCCTTTGTATTTCTTGTTAATGAGCCTGACCATATTTTCCATGCAGTCTTCAAATTTGGTCGGCTTCCGATGAACCTGCGATGTCAAATCAAGCCAATATATCACCATAGTTGAACATTGCTATGCAGCATTTTATATCTCACAGCAGCGAGTTACCTTTTTGTAGGAAACACATTGCAGAGGAAACTTCTTCAACTCATGATATGACACCGATAGCACAGTTGCAATACAATTGGGAGACATATAAAGAAATATTAAGAAAATAAATACACCAAAAACCTCAAGCTAACCAATGTGATCCAGGTACCTTATAACGGCTCTACACTACTGATGAGTTCTAATAAAAATTAAACTATTATTCTGCTGCTGCCCAAAACAAATGAGGCCACATGTTCAGGCCTTTTGAGCCGGTAGCTTTGTCAGGCTGCACGCAAAGCACTTGCAGGAATCGTGATGTCATCTTGGTATGCAAAGGATGCTGATATAATCTAATCAGCTTCTGTCACCTAAAACACCTCTATGCCTCTGTATTAGTGTGAATGCAATAAAAACATAGAAGTGCATGACTCGTCTCTCTCTTGGTACCTAAGCCACTGATGTAAATCCCACATTTGGAGAACCGCGGTGGCGAGATGTTAACTCCCTCACCTGGTATGGAGAAGGTCGTGGGTTCGATCCCAACCCTGACGCCTGTATATATGTTCTCCCCGTTGTCGTGTGGATTTTCATCCGGGTCCTCCGGTTTTTCTCTCCACATTTAGAATCATGCGTTTCGAAAATTTGTCTGCTATAAATTTACACATGATAAGCCATTTTGTTGAGCTATCATTTGTGACCAGGTCACTTCTGAAACAGAGCTAATATAGCTCAGTGAGCTTTACCTGGTAATATGAAAATAGTTTTATAGTTTTAGTTGTATAATTACCATGGCAGAGGTCAATTTATCCATGCAACTAATATTGAATTCCCACAAAGAGGCAATACTGAGTTTTTGTGTCTTAATACGTTTGCATATTCACGCGTATAAAAAATCGAATGTTCTTTTCTCTGGGTTTTGTTTTCTCATTGAAATTTGCTGTGGTAATTTAAATAAAGGTTTCCCATAAAAATAATATTTCTAGTCTTAGTGTGTGCTTACCAGCTGATTAGTAGTGATACATCGATTCTAATGACTCTGCAGCGATGATGGACTGAGTCAACTCATAATTGCAATTTAACTCACATCCGTAACCCTGCGTGTTGAACCCTCTAATAACAGCACACCCGGGTGGCTTGTTCAATGTATTTACATACAAATGCACCCCTATTAGTTGATATTTATAAGAGTGAATGTTCACACCTTTCCATTGAACTGAAACCCACAACATGCTTTTTAGCAGTCTTTCTAGCAGACGAAAGCAATCGCTCCACTTCATAATTGTGAGAACTGTTCATGATGAAGGCTCTGACCTGGTAGTGGAGGTTGGGGCGGTTGAAGGAGGCGGTGAACGAGAGGGCGCCGGGCACTGCCAGGATGCTCTTCACGTCGTCCAGCACCACGCTGGTGGCCGTGGCGGTGAGGCACAGCAGGGGCACCTTGGGGAACTGTCTCTTCAGAATGCCCAGCACCTTGTAATCTATACCACCGAGCCACACACACCCAAATAGTTAAATTTGTTCTGCTTCTAACACAAAAAATATCAAGATTTCCCGTGTAGCCTTAACAGACTGTTGGGGCAAGTGCTGTTAGCGACCACCTATGAAGGCCATCACGGCACAAGACGGGGTGGGTGGCCAGCACCACGCCCGACCCGCGGTGGGAGCAGCTCCCTCTGCTGTGGAGAGCCGCGCTAAAGTGCTTCGTGTACGGTCGGTCGGGCCACACTGCTGCGGACTGCCGGGGTGACAAGTGACATCGAGGAGTCACCCGTGCTCATTGAGCCACTGGCACAGTCAACTTAAGCCCCATCGGACTGGGTCTCTGGGGCCTACCGAGACCACCAAGTGCGAGGCTTCCGGGACTGGACCCGGTGGGCGATGCCGAGCGGCGAGGGGCCACGCCCTTTGAGCCGAGGACTCCGACTCCATCGTCTCTTGGCCCTCCGGGTTCTGGAGGTGCAGGACCCTGCTGGGACAGGGGTGACTGGCGCCATAGACCGGATCACGTGAGCTACGTCCCCGATTGGGGGGACTCTCCCTTGCACTGAGAGGGGACTCGGGGGGTGAAGGGGTGTTGGGGTTAAGGGCCTGGGTAAAATAGGAAACGGAGGCGATGTGCCGATTCGCGAGCTCAATGTGCCGCGTGTGTGTGGGAAGGGTCGCCGATTCGCAAATGGGGGACTGTGAGGGAGTCGCCGATTCTCGAGTTCGAGGACGCCATGTAGGGAAGTGTTGGTTTGTTTTTGGGGGGGCACCGGGGAGCAGTGGAATGTGTTGTTGAAGTGGGATATGTTGTAGTTGTAACGGGATTGTGAGGGGAATATAAGCAGCGGAGAGCGAGAGCTCTGGGCTGCCGGTTCTGGGATCGTCTCGCTTTCGCTGTTTTCGTTGACGCCCTCGTAGCTGCCGCCTTCGCTCGATCATTGCGCGGCCGGACAGTGGTTGGCTGTCCCGGTCGATGACGTCGGTGCAATGCGGACAGGGTCGTGTCTGGGATGGGGCGCGCGCCAGCTGTGACTTGTGTGAGAGAGAGAGGGGGCCCGAGTGGTGGCGTGAGCTCGGCAACAACAACGAATACAGAGGGCAGAGCAGTGCCTCCTGCGACCACCTCGTCTCCGGCTGACTGTGTGTGCGATGCACGCCACCCACACGGACAGATGACACTACACATACATACAACGCACTCTCACTCACCTACCCACTGACTAACGCACCACACTCCAGGTCACAACAGTTATTTTTCTGCTTCTTCCCTCACACTGCTCCACTTTGGAATTACCTCTCATTATCTATTTTCCCAAACCTCTTGTCAATCCATGAACCCTTAACCATTAGAATTTTAATCGTGCTCTTTGTTCTGGCAGCTGGACGTTGTGAGCCTTTGGGCCTGTGGTCAACAATTGTGTTTAAAAACACACATCACTGGCATTTCAGATGAAGCTAAACGTTTTAAAGAGTATATCCATGATATTGAAAGTCAACAACCGACCTCCATGGTCTGTTCTTGTGCTCGCCGCTAGCCCGGTTTATGTTTTCCCACTATAGGGCTTTGGGTCTTTGACTGGATTCAAGTATTTAGACTTCAGGTTATTCTATTCATGCAGTTCATTAAAGAGTTAATTTATTTTTATTTCAAATATACATTGATATTGAACTGCTTTTGCACCATATGTAGCCAACCGTGCTATTCCAGGAGGCAAACAATTCAGACACTGGACCATCTTCGGACCAAATACTGCGGAAGCTATATTATTTCAGCCTGTAGGTGGGAGAATGAAAGTTTAAAGACATAACTTGAAGTTTGGTGATACAACGTATGTATACACACAGGTTTCTATCATCAGCTAAAAATTCAAGGAGATATTTTTTTTCAGCCAGCCATGTGTGTGCGGTGTGCGGCATGGTCCGGAATGGCGCAGGAATACTGTAGTGCAGGTAGCCCTGGTCATGGATTGTTGAGGTGATGTTGGGATAAAGCGAAAACCTCTCCTGACTCTCTATATGTATGCATGCGTGAGAGAAAATATGGGCTGATGCGGTACAGAAGGATGTGGAGCTGTTTGGATTTGTCAATGACTGGTACCAGCGGAGTCAAGATCGGCCTCTTTGGAGGAAGCCTGTGAAGCAAGCTAGTGGGAAGTTGGAGGCAATCGCCCTCCAACAACAGTGGAATAGCAAGGAGCGGAGTGCCGGTTGGCTAATACACAATGAGTCGGCACAGTGGGAAGCACAGGTGATGCATCAGCCAGTCATCTCAGTTAACCCACGGCACTTAAGTCTGTCCCGTGACCTCCTGCCAGCGAGCCTTTGACACTTTACGTGGCCTCAAGGTTCACCTAGCCTGGCACAAGCACCGTGGTGACATCACCGCCACTTAGTGGCGAATAACGGCTGTTGTTGTCGCGATGGACACGAGTTGCGCTCAGAATCAGAATCTTTATTTATCCTGGAGGAATCCGATGAGCTACCAAGCTCTTTTTGACAGATGTCCAGTTAGGGGCAAGTAAGAACGTTACAACAAACAAACAATACATAAACCGATAGGAGTGCAATGTATAAGAAAGCTAAGTGAGTCACGAAATGAAAATAAAGTATATAATTACAAATTACTCACCGGGCCTGAAGTCGTTCCCCCATTGGCTGCAACAGTGCACCTCGTCGATGGCGATGCGAGCGAGGCGCTCGCCCTTGTAAGCTTTCTCCAGCTTCGACATGAATATTTTACTCTTGGCGATCTTCTCCGGCGTCACATACAGCAGCTTCAGCTCGTGGTCATTGGAAATCATGGCCGCTTGCACAGTCTTTACATGCTCCTGAGGACGTTCAAACATGAAGCACCGTCAGAATTTAAAACCAGTGTTTTCAAAGGTCCTCTTTCAAGATAACAACAATCCACTTGACACAATGGAAAGTCTCGTAATTCTGTTGCATTTCATGACACCAATTATGAAGCACACATCTTTTGGAAAGTGAATCATGCATGCATTTATTTTTAGTCAGCTAAAACACTCGTTCCACATGAGAACATGCCATCAAATTCCAAATTTAAATAACTTCCTCAGACTTAAATAACAGAATATAACAAAACCACACTGAATAATTAAAACTGGACATTTGACTCTAAACATCTCGCTCCCGGTTCCACAATGGTCATCATGATCATCATACACCTATATATTTTAAGTGCGAAATTACATTCTTGATTGATGTCCGATAGATTTATTTTCATGATTATTATTGATATAATATAATTCCTCCTCTCTCAAAACTGAGGCTACAACTTAAATTCATCGGGTAACCCTTCTTACTCTCCCCCACTCGATGATAGCAAGAAAGAACTTACATTGTCTTTTTGTGACCTCACACCAACCACATCCACTTTAAGTTTAACATGCTTACGACGCCACACAAGTGTAGTGGCATTGAATAGTAATGTAGCAGCATAGCGCTGGCTGCTGGCAGGGAAAGGGATCTGCAGCTTACGGCAGCCCTGACGTCAGCAAGCCAGGTTATAGACCAGAAGGGGATCTAAGTGAAAGGCCACAGAAGGGGAACATCAAGAACCCGCTGGTAGGTTTGAGAAAGGGGGCGTGGCCGGAGGCGGAGCCCGGCCACGCTGAGAGTATAAGAAGAGCCCCTGTAGTGGACCTCGGGGCTGTTGTGTGGAATGTGATCCCCGTCATGCTGCTGAAGTCTTCGTCACCATTATTTTCGTCTTCTTCACCATCTCTCTTGTCATCGTCTCCGTCTTCACCATCTCGGGGCATCACCAGTCAGGCAGCTTACCAACTGTCCTGACTGAGTAGCGTCGCCGACAATAGACGGACTAATTATAAAGCGTTAACCCTGATGGTGCTTGTTAATAAAGAAGTGCCTCCAACTCTTATCATCTCCGAGTTAGTCACTACACAATGGTCAGGGAGGTTTCCATAAATATACAGAGATAAAAATCGGGCATTGGATGGAATATCAACGTTACCTTGGTGCTACTGGCACTGAGCATGGCGGCTGGGATCTTTAGTTGCTCCAGCGCCATAATTTGGTCTTCCATCAGCGAGATGAGTGGGGAAATCACCAGAGTGAATCCTACGTAAACAAGGAAGGATGCCAGTGAACAATCATGTCACTCGTGATATTAAAAATGTAACAATTTGTCCTCCTCGTGATTCAATTATTAGTCTCAACTCTAAGTGGTTGGGGCACCACGATGGCAAGATGTTATCTCTCTCGTCTGGTATAGCGGAGGTCGTGGGTTCGGTCCCGACCCTGATGCCTCTATATTTGGAATTTGCATGTTCTCCCCGTGGTTGTGTGAAATTTTCTCCAGGTTCTCCGGTTTTTCCCTACAAATTTAGAAACATGCGTTTAGATTATTTGGCTGCTACTATAAATGACCACATATAATAAACCACTTTCTTGAGCTATTATTTGTCGCCAGGTTCCTGGCCACAAATTCTGCCAACAAGAGTGTGCACAAAGGGACAAATTTTACATCCAATGCATGCACAGTACAACTGCAAACAAATCATACAACCAAATTGAGCAATTGTACCTAAATTGCTCAATTTAATTGTGAGAATTGTTGTTATACTACCAGCAAGCTGAAATAATGATTGGTGCATTAAAGGGTGATACACAGGACAATTCATTTGTTTTGATGTGTTGTGTGGTGGAGGGACTTAATGACACAAATTTGGACAGACCATTACATGGCCTAACCAAAAAATATATTATGAAAAATAATAAAGGCTGCGACAAACGCCATGTTAAGTTAAACGTAAACAGTTAATCTTGTGTTGCTATTAACATCTCACCAGAACGAACACGGGCGCCTGAATTATCCAATCAGTGTGGGTTGGTGAATGCCAAAAAAAACCCATGCACACTTAGTCAATAGCAGCTCACCTTTCGAGCACAGTGCTGGCAGTTGGTAGCAGAGACTTTTGCCTCCTCCTGTTGGCATGATGAGAAACACATCGTGGCCGGCTATACTGGCATTCATTGCCTGCAGCTGCAAAGATCGAAAATTGTCCATCTTGAATACTTCGCGCAGGATGCATTTCAACTTGGTCGACCACGAAAAATCTGCAATTCACATAAAGTTGGCACAGTCACCGATAACAGCTGGAGTTAGTAGTTGAGACATTACTGCATTAGGTAATGGATTGTGCAGCCAGTTCCATTTTAGATCCCCAAAAGGATCGGCCCAGGTATAATGAATGGTGCTAGAAGATCACATTTGTTTAATGGGGATAGGTCTCTTTAAATCTCCCCGATGTGTTTACGGGTTATGCCGCGTGTTGTTTGGCACGATGCCCACCGTTTATTTTATTATCATTATGATCCACAACAATACCTAAGTCCTATTTTTTTTAACAGAGCCCTCTTGTGAAGATTTAAGTGCTCTTGACCATCACATCTGACAATCCACCAATAGTTGTTCAACAATCCAAACCATGAATAAGAACTAAAGGTTGAAAATGGTCCAATGCTGCTGGATAATAATTGCCCAGAGACAAATGGTGGCCTGATTACAGAGCTGTTGGGCTCCAGACTGCAGTAGTGGAATCTCCTGGCAGGTGATGTTAGCGTTTCCATGTTCCATGACCCGTCAAAAGGATCTTGTCCCATTCTTCTTCATGGAAGGTGATCTTGTAGCCTGCAACAACATCGACGGTGTGATGGCAGCCCTCAACATCGTTCATGATCCAGATGAATGGAGACTGTTCATTGATTCATCAAAGATGAGTCTTAAAGCTGTTTTGCTGCATAATGGCTATGTTTTGTCATCAATTCCAGTTGGTCATGCAGTCCATATGAAGGAAATCTATGAGAGATTCCCATAACATCAAGATAGATTGGCCACTCCGACAGTCATTGGAGCCTGGGAGGAAAAGTGTTCAGCATCCACCACTTGTTGAATCAAAGAATATTTTGTTACCACCCTTACACATCAAACTGGGTCTGATGAAGAACTTTGTCAAAGCCATGTGTAGTGACTGGGAATGTCACTGTGTGGTGCCGGGCTTGCGAGGCCACGGCGGGATGTATACTCAGTTTAACACGTAGGCTTTCGCGACCAATATTATTCATAATAAAGGTTTTTGGGTTAGATCGCGTTTATTTATAAATGTGTTATAAAAAGGCGGAGGGGGGGGGGTATTGTAATTATATAATCGATTCGTAATCAGTCATTGGTTATGATTAGTAATGAGTTGTAGATTAGTAATTCTTTAAATCAAAATGTAATGTGTATTATTTAATAATACGCTTCCAGGCGTATTATTAAATAATAATTATTAAATAATAATACGCCTGGAAGCGTATTATTAAATAATACACATTACATTTTGATTTAAAGAATTACTAATCTACAACTCATTACCAATCATAACCAATGACTGATTACTAATCGATTATATAATTACAATACCCTCCGCCTCTAATCACTGCACCTGATATGAGTTAAGTGATGACGTCACCCTGCTGCTCTATATAAAACCGGGAGCAAGCGAGGGCTTTACCATTCTGGCGAATTGCCCGATGATGCTGGATGTATTTACCAGCGAAACGTCGTACTCAAACTGTAAATGTTGTGGATCCATTCTTCAACACACCGGTGGGCTAAAGTAGTGAATTATTTGTCTTTTGTCAACGTGACACTTTTTTTGCTGATTGGCCGTGTCGGGTGGTGGAGGGTTACGACACATTTATAAATAAACGCGATCTAACCCAAAAACCTTTATTAGGGATGTATACTATTGTGTGTACACCTCGGAAACGGGGTGTAGTACCAGTCCTAGTGGGGGCTTGGGTGAGCGCTGGTTAAGTGCGGTAGCACCACGCACAGTGTGCGGTGCGGGCTCCCGTTGAGAGAGCGAGAGTGTCAGCCAGCTAGGGTTACGTTGGGGGCTGATCTGGGGGCATGTGACTGGATGATACTGGAGGGGGGCCACCGGGCGAGGGGGCCAATGGGTGGTCACATGGCCCAAGAAGAACTCTCGAGAGCCTTCGGGCAAGGGCGAGAGATCGAGAAGGTGGGTGGGGCGAGAGATGGAGCCAGCCCCCGCCCGGCCCGATATAAGGGGGGCCCTTGAGAGGGGTTCGGGGTTCTTACTGTTGGAGAGGGAGGAGATCCATGTCAAGCTTGAAGAAGCCTCCAGCCACGCGGTCCAGGACCCAGCTTGTGGTCAGGACCGGGATTGTGGAACCGTGTCTAGTTCCGCCGTAGCGTGGTTAGTTGGGTGGTCACCACCCGAGAGTGTGTTGTGTTAATAGCCTGGAGTATGTTGTGCTAAGAGTTTAATAAAATGTGTTGCTCCCAAGACAACGTCTGCGACTCGTTTGGACTCACTACACATGGACAAAATACAAGCAGCTTTCAAGTACCTCCATGGAAAATTTCCAAGATTAAGTGAAGCTAAGATAAAGAAAGGTGTCTTTGTTGGTCCTCAGATTTGTGAACTTCTTCGAGATGATGCATTTGACAGTGCACTGCGTGGGAAAACACGGCATGGAAAGCCTTCCAGTTCGTGGCAACACATTTTCTCGGAAACAACAAGGCAGACAACTACAGGGAGATGGTGGAAAACCTCCTCAAGCAATACAAAAGCCTTGGTTGCAACATGTCACTAAAATATATCAGGGCAAATGGAGCCCATCAATGCTTGCAGACTATTGCTGGACAGTGAGAAGAGATGCTCCATTTAATTAATCAAGAGACAAGCCAATAAGCACCGAGTAGACACTGAATAAGGACCATTTACTATAGAACGGCCGATATTGAATCCACGCAGAAACGACGTGTTTAAGCAAACAGATATTCCACCGCCGGACTATCTAACTCATTTGAAGGCCAATATAGACAAATTATTGAGGCTTCACCCCCCCCCCCGCCGTTACCTATGCGTACGTACATTGTCAGTGGACCCCCATACGCAAGTGTACGCATTTGGGTTAACCCCTCCCTCCCCCCTCCATGTGTACGTACTAAATGGATGGCCCCTTACCTGGTAAAATAAAAAAGATTGCACGTGGGCCTCACCTTCTCGCTCCCACTTCTCTGCAGCGCGAGCACTGTCCGCGGAGCCGCTCTGCTCTTTGCTCTGTTTGCGCTGGAGTTTGCTGATCTTGTTCTGGATGCTCGCCTTGCGCTCCAGCAGCAGCTCCTGCTGCTCCACCAGCTCCTGGATCTGCGTCCCGACTCTGTCTAGCTCAGACGACACACACGCGAGCTCCACCTCCAGGTCTGTAGGAAGGAAGATAGAATCTCACTTAGCCGGACACATTCGTGATGCATTATTGTGTATGCTCTGTGTACGCATCTGTGCAATACAACGGCCTTCCCATCTTTTAAAATCCATATGCACTTCTTTCCTAGACCATCGTTTGAGAGATTTTTTTCCTACATTCAATCATGTTCGATGTACTGTGCATGTGGCAGTGTATTAGTATATAAATCAATCTTTATTTTACGTGCCAATATCACCCCCGATAAAGTAGGCATCATTTCACATTACAGTAGAACAGAAACGGTACTAGGAGCATAGAGCAACAGGAATAAAAAATAAACCCGTCACGACCTCAGCAGCTCACACCGACTGAGCAAAATAAATTGCAACCATGCGCAAAATAAAGTGCAACCGTTCACAACGAATAGCATAAGAAAGGTAAAAAAATATATATTTTTTCCCATTTCCTCCTTTATTTCCCTTAGAAAATGTTCGATTTCATGGGAAGATTATAATATTGTAGGTGACTGAACAACATCCTAGGGGATATTAACATTTATAAACTTGTAATTGTTACAATTATAATGTATTGCCATGTGAATGATATTTAGCTCATGATGCCTGGTCATTGAGTCTGTATGTATAAACATGTGCTAGTAATAAAGAAGTGATGAGTCCCTCCTATTCTTTGAGAAATTCAGCGATTGCAAGGGTCATCATTTTTTGTGTTTAGTTTGTTGTCCTTCCCCTGCATCTCCGATTAGCACAGTTGGTTATGTACGGCGCCAAAGAAGTTCAACATGCATACATGGCAGACGGTGAATGACTGTGACCAATGGAAGCCACGTGGTATCAGAGGAGTATCATTGATAGGCAGATTACCTTCAAGGCACATCATTGTCGGCTGCCTCCTGAGGCAGCTCCTCCTTCACCAGAAAGTGTCTCAGTCAGAAATGACGTCTGCAGACCAGAGACGGCACCACTGCACGACAATAAACCAACTTTCACACCAACTTGTCTCTCAATCACATGTTTATTGAATACCATAACCTCAAATATTGACAGAACCATGCTTTGTAGCCCTCAACTGTTTAATATATCCACACGGTATATGCAGACGTGTGCATTTAACCTGTAAAATTTCAACAAAATAATGGATGGGGAAAAGCTCGAAAAACACAAGCGAGCGTGTCATGAAAATCAATGGCAATTATTGAAAGCGAACCGGGTGGGTTAGCAAGCGCAAGATTCAGTGCTTTTGAAAAAAAAAGAAACACTGTATAGCGAAACCCATACGAATACCTGTCAGCCCATACGGTTTACCTGTATTCTTGTACAGGAAAATTGAGCTTTCAGGTCTATACGTTGTACAGCAGTTTCAATAAGGGGAATTTTTTTTAAATTTGTTTGGTTCTCCCTTGTGATGGGACTTTGGAGAATGAACTTTGAGATTTATAAGGTCTGAATTGGTCTGTAATAGGGCAGGCACTAATAAGGGTTTGACAAGTATGCATATGCCGCTGTGGCTCATTAACGTTTTCAATCGGTGCATTTACCCGAGACATGGACGGGAACATGGGCAGCGATGAAGAGCATTGGATAACCCCCCCCCCATTCCCTCTATCCTTGGTCTCCCCTTGCTATGTTTGTTCTCACCACCCCCCACACCAACATATAGGACTCCTCTACTTATGAACGAGTTATGTTCCAGAGGTCTGTTTGTAAGTCGATTTGTTCGTAAGTCTAACTTTCCTCCCGTCGATTAAAAACATATTGTAGAACATGTACACTAAACACAGGGAATGGCTTTATAGGTTGTATAATCTTCCGTAGATGTATATGCCACTGGTCCTTAATGTTCTGCAGATGTAGATGCCACCACCGCCATCTATTGCGCCGGCGGTTGAAAAGGCAACTCGACGTATGGACAGGTTTGTTCGTATCTCTGAAAGTTCGTTAGTTGGATGTTCATAAGTAGAGGCGTCCCTGTACATCTTCACCTCCCCCCTACGCGGGGTCCCCACTTAGCTGCGGGCCAATAACCCCCCCCCCAATCTATGTACGGCCTCGTCGCGCCGAATGGGGCTTGCGTTTTGTCACTCTCATCCCCCCAAAAAACACCTGTATCATGGGTATTGGTCGCGAAAGCCTCTGTGTTAAACCAAAAGGGGCAGTGAAAAAAAGTTGAAAAGTACGCGAACAGGAGGCGCATGCTCGGAATAACACCAAGGCTCAGCAGGGGAACACGTGGAATCGGAGATTCTGTAAATTAGACACGAAATTCTTGTGACCGCTTAAGAGAAATGGGCTTGGGTTAGAGCAGACATGAGCAAAGTACGGCCCGTTGGCTTTTTAATCCCGCCCGCCGAACTTGTCCAAATATTATTATTAAATACAAATTTACCTTTCTCCTGCAATGCCCCCATTCCCCCATTAGATGGCGCACTTTGACCGGGAGTTACGACACGTTTTTGTATTGTTCATGTTCGTGCAATTTTTTAAATTGCCTTGCAAATAAATGCTTTGCTACCTGTTAAAGGCCAAATCCTTTCATGTAATGATTTTTAACACGTCATTTATATTTAGTTCACACAAACACTCCATCCATCTGTTTCCTGGCCTGGCCCCTCGTGTCAAATTTTAGAACCCATTGTGGCACCGCGAGTCAATAAATTTGCCCACCCCTGGGTTAGTCGCCTCACCAAAAGGGATGGCTGAAGGATGAGTGGCGAATAATCGTCAAAGCAAAGGATAACCACGGAGATAGGGCGATCAGATAAGCTCATGCACCAGAAGGGCCATGGATTGTGGCAAAAGCAGGATCGTGAGGGATGGGGACGGCTTGGAGAAGCTTTCGTCCAGCAGTGCATGGATAATGGCTGATGAGCGCATTGCACAGCGCGAGTTATTAAGAGTTGCGTAGTGAGGTAATGCGAGTAGTCTGTATTCTATCAACTTGTATGTATGTAACTGCGCCGCCAACGCACAGCATTCGCTCGCCGCTTGTTGTGTTTAGTTTGTTGTCCTTCCGACCTCCGATTGGCGCGGTTGGCTACGTACGGTGCGAAAGAAGTTCAACATAGTTCATTTCATAGTTCATTTATTTGGTATAGCCCTGTGAGCCATTCGGCTCTTGAATCGGGTACAACCGCAACAAACAAAACATACGAAATGAAAATTGGGAATGATTGCCTGATCATATCTTGTTTTTTTGTTGTTGCAGGAATAAGTATTCACTTCAGGTTCCCAGCAAGTGCCGCCATCCCCCTAGTTGAGGGGTCGGCAACCAAAATAACAAGAAGAGACATTTATTTAGAATTCGGTTAAAAAAACCCCTCAATATTTCAAGAGAAGACTCGGAGGCGCGCGGTGGAAACCGCATTCAGGAGCGGCCACCAACAGTCGACCCAGCTCTGCGGTTCTCTATGTATGAAGGCGTTATCAGCCAATTAATGAGGGGTTTTTAAAAAAAATGTTATCTGTGCGAGGAAACCGGAGTACCCGGAGCAAACCCGCGCGTTGTAGCGACGAAACACGTTATCCCATACTGCTGCAGCACATGGGGGGGTGGGAGTCCACATTTGCTCTATCGCATTCTCTCGACGAATCAAGGTCCGTATGTTGAACTTCTTTCGCACCATACGCAACCAACCGTGCTAATCGGAGGTGCGGGGTTGGGGTGGGGGTGGGGAAGGAAAACTAAAACACAACATTCGGTGTCACATCTGTGCACAATCCACGAACCCTCGCTGCTGCCTCCACAGTGCTGTATTTACAGGCCACGCGCTTTGCCGCCAGCACCACCGCCGGCTGTAGAGTAAGGTTAGGGTCCACTTGGTGTCTATAGTACGTGTAACAGTGTTACAGCGCGTCCCGACTCGTGTGTACAGTACGTCAGACTGCGTACAGTACGCACTGTCCAGTGACGTGTACAGTACAGTCCGTACTCAGCTCTGTAGCATGAGTTCTATGCGCGAATAGCGTGCACGGTGTCCGTGTACAGTCAATGTACAGTGTGCACAGTCAGTGTACAGTCAATGTACATTCAATGTACAGTGTGGACTGTCCGCGTACAGTGTGGACTGTCAGTGTCCGCTTTACCGGCACGAGTGAGGAATCGACTCCCGGCGGAATCGTATAACGCGGTTAGCGACGCGGAGAATCGATTCATTCCTCCGAAAATCCGCGAGCGACGTCGGCCGCTAAACGGAATCGCAACCGAGGAATCGGATCGCCCGGGCGCGAGCGAAAGATATTCTTGGTTCTTTCGGTAAAGTCACGTAGAAGAAACAATAAAATAATAAAAAATCTGACTTTACCGAAAGAATCAAGAATATGAATCCCTGCAGTCACAAAAGCTTTAAATCAAAATTGAATGTGAATGAGTTAAGAGGGAATGAGTGAGTGCGACAGGGGTGTCCTCTGGCTCCCACATTATTTAACATCTATTTTGACCACGTAGTTCGTGAAGCCTTCAATAGCTGTACCGGAGGAATTTCCTTCTGGTACAGATACAATGGGAGGCTGATCGATGCCCGGGTGCGGTCAAGGGATGGCTCCCTATTGCTCAACCACGTTATGTATGCTGATGATTTGGTAATAGCTGCTTACTCAGAGGAGGAGTTGGAGACGCTGCTGCTGAGACTGGAGCGTGCCCCACCAAAACTAAGCACCTGCCTGGGTATTTTGTACCATCGGACACTCCACCCCCACAACTCCCAATCGGTGATGGGGCAGTTGTGGAGGGAGTGGAGAGTTCCCCATACCTGGGAAGTGTGCTTATGACCGGCTCCAGTTTAACAGCAGAGGTCTCACTCCGAATCAGTCGAGCGGCAATATCTTTTCATCGGTTACGTAACGCTGTGTGGAAGCTACCTGGTCTGTCGCTCCGCACTAAGCTTCAGGTCTTCTCGGCCACGGTCATTCCCTCCCTTCTCTACGCTTGCGAAACGTGGACCCCCCTAATGGAACATCTTCGCCGGTTAGAAACATTTAGGCTGGCCTGCCTACGGTCCATCCTGGGTTTAACTAGACTGGATTGTGAGCTCACATATCCTTGAAAGATCTGGACAAAGCCCAATCTGTGAGCTCCTCCTGCAGGCAATGCTGCGTTGGCTGGATCATGTAGCCCGCAGCATTTGTTCGGCTAGAGAGGGCTAAACAGGCGCGGCACGGGCTAGAGAAGAGATGGAGTGATGTGGTACAGGAGGACGTGGAGCTGAGTGAGTGGACTTGCCGATGACTGGTACCAGCGGTGTCAAGATCGGCCTCTGTGGAGGAGGCTCGTGAAGGACGCTACTGGGCAGTTGGAGGCAGTCGCCCTCCAACAACAACGGAGGCCGGAGGAGCGACGCTCACAACAACGAACGGAGCGCCGGATGGCTAAAGCACAGCAGGTTGGGACAGTAGGGGGCACAGGTGGTGCACCAGCCAGTCATCTCAGTTAGTCGACCCGTGGCACCACCTGGGTCTGCCCCGTGACCTCCTGTCAGCGGGCGTTGGACACTTCACGTGGCCTCAAGGTGCACATGGCCTGGCACAAGCGTCGTTGTGACGTCACCGCCACTTAGTGGCGAATGGCGGTTGTTGTTGTTGAGTGAGTTGAGAGTGAGTCAAGAGGGAGTGTGTTATTGAGTTAAAATAGAAAGAGTGAGTTGAGAGGGAATGAGTGAATGAGTTGAGGGAATGAGCGAGTTGAGAGAAAGCGAGTGATTTGAGAATGAGTGAGGTGAGTCAGCAAATGAGCTGAGTGAATGTGAATCAGAATCTTTATTTATCCTGGAGGAATCTGATGAGCTAAAAAGCTCTTTTTCACAGATGTCCAGTAGGGGCGAGCCATCAAGTTACAGTACAACATAAAAAAAACAATTAAAAAAACGATAGCAGTGAGATATAGATAAAAGTTAAGCAAGTCACGAAAAATAAATAAAGTATATAAGTACAAACATCACAAGTACATAACTTCCTGTCGACTTTTCAATATTGAATGCAAGCTTGGGGCAAGGCAGCGAGTGAGTTGAGAGGAGTGAGGAAGTGACACGAACGTCGTGCACAACACAACGGACAGCCACGATGATGCTTGAAACATTACATCCTATTAACACAGCAGATTTACACCAATACAAACATAACTCAACAGTCATGATTACAACCCACCACCACTCGCAAATTCTGAGCAAGAAACGCACAAAACTAGAGTGTTGTGAAGCAAGATGCCACTCTTCCGAGAATTTAGTCACGAGCCTCCCATCTCCGAGGCTGGGAAATGACTCCACAGTCCACATAATCAAACCCTGCTAGGTCATGTGCAGAACTCATAGCTAACAGCCAGACATCCACATCTGGCAAGTTCACTAGCATCGATCCGAGCACACCTGACTGCTGATGAGTAGCCGTGTAAAGCTGGTCCAGAGTTTGCGTGCACCGAAATCAATGTTGCTGAATTGATGCACTCCCAGGTCGTGCGGTTGTGTAAGAAATATTATTTTTTAAATGGGGAAATATGGATATATGGTGGATAAATATTGATGACTTATTTACTTTGTTATATACATTCTCCACAACGACGCTTATTATTTTGAGTTATTTTATTGTTGCTGTGAATAACTACGGAAAAATCTTATCACCTTGTCTGACTTTGTAGATGTATTCACGGGAGATATGATGAGAAAGTTGATAGGAAACATTCAGCCACAATACAGGATAAGATCGTAGATGCATTTAGACAATACAAAAAAGGATAATTGTTTGGTCTTTTCAAATTTTTATTCCGGTTGTGCTATTGGCATCATTTCATTAAATACAAATTTTAGCAATCCTGAAGAGCAGTGCCCCCGTGTCCTCATTCGCAGAACTGAAACATCTTTCAAGTCGCCTTTTTATCCTTCACTCAGCAGGGGTCGAACGTTCCCACACACAAGCGATGAGATTGTCAATTTATAGTCAACCCAATATATTTAATTCTCACAGAGCTCGAATTAAGCCAAATGAGTGCAAAACCAATGGTAATTATGTGTGTATTACACTGGTCTACTGCCAAAATGCTTCCAAAATAAATGTAATCCAACTTAACTAATTCTGGGTCACTGAGAATGAAAATGATGCTTAAAATTGTTGATTGGCTCTAGTTTTCAAGATATGTTACTGGGTCAATATATATAAACCAGAAATTACTCAAATACATCTTTGACTGGATCTACGAATAAATCTATGACTGGGTTTGGACAGTACTTGCTTTTTGAGCAAAACAATGAATGATCCAATCTGAACCTGGTATTGCATTATATTATATGAATTGCATCATGTCATTCCTAGAAGTTATGGATCTTGCAATCATAACTAGGCTGACATCCCTCTGCTGAACAAATTGCCCTATATCAGCTCTAGAAATCATACAGTGTCATGCTCTCTTATTTGTCGGTGTTTGATTTTGCAAAGGGACACATTTCTGTTTAGCCAAAGTGAGCAGAGATGCTTCGTACTTTTGTGAACAAAGCAGATAATTTCTGCTATGTTTGTGGTGAAGTGACTTTTGGCACCACAAAAGCGCAGTATCACCACTCTGGTTAAGTAAGCCTATCACCTTTATTTTGGCTGCAAAATTGGAGATCAGATCAGGACAAGATGTGGGCCCCACACATATGCCGCCACACTTGTGCAACAAATCTTCGCCGGTGGTTGAACAGGAAAAGGAAATCTATGCTTTTTCAGTGCCAATGATTTTGAGAGAGCCAACAGATAATATCAGCAATTGTTACTTCTGCATGGCACCTCCAGTTGGGAAAGGTGTGTCAAAAAATAAAAAGTGGACTGTGCATTTTACAAACATTCTATCAGCTTTACGCCAAGTACCCCATGGAGAAGGACTGCCGGTTCCTGATGCACCAAATTCATTCTCACTTGAGTCAGACGAAGGAGAGGATGAAATTTCTGGTCCTGAACCATCAAGGTTACATGACCAAGATTTTCTCCCATCGTCCTCCTCTGAACTATACCTCATAACACCAGGTGAACTGAAAGACTTTGTCAGAGATTTGGAATTACCCAAGAGTACGGCAGAGCTATATGCTATGGTTCTTGCGGTAAAGTCACATAAGATAGAAAAAATAATAACAAAATTATAAAAATACAAATGAAAATAAAGTGAATAAATAATAAAAATATCACGACGTGATGACGACTGCTTGTGTTGCGATCGAAACGTCGTGATATTTTGTATTCACTTTACATATTATTCTTTTATTATTGTAAACAAAAATTAATCTACGTGACTTTACCGAAAGAACCATAGAATATGAGATTCCTGCAGTCACGAAAGTTTTAAGTCAAAATTTAAGGCAGAGCTGTTGGGCTCCAGACTGCAGTAGTGGAATCTCCTGGCAGGTGATGTTAGGGTTTCCATGTTCCGTGACCATCAAAAGGATCTTGTCCCATTCTTCTTCATGGAAGGTGATCTTGTAGCCTGCAATAACATCGATGGTGTGATGGCAGCCCTCAACATCGTTCATGATCTAGATGAGTGGAGACTGTTCATTGATTAATCGAATATGCATCTTAAAACTGTTTTTCTGTATAATGGCAATGATTTGCCATCAATTCCAGTTGGTCATGCAGTCCATATGAAGGAAACCTTTGACAATATGAAACAACTTTTGAGGTGCATAAACTATGACCAACATCAGTGGCAGCTTTGTAGCAATTTGAAGGTTGTTGCTGTCTTGCTTGGTCTGCAGACTGGATACACAAAGTACTGCTGTGTTCTCTGCGAATGGGATAGTCGTAAACTTGATTTGGCGCACCTCTGTGCGCCTATGTGTGTGTCTCTGTGTTATCTCTCTCTGCTTATGTGTCTGTCTATGTGTCTCCGGTTCTGTGTTTTATCCCTCTCTTAAATTTAGCAGTCTTTGGAAGAACGTAATCAACCAGGTAGGGTGTTGACTGTCATGTTAGCCGACTATCTGTGCTGTATTGCATTATATTTCTAAGTTTACTAGGTTTCTTTTCTCTTTCATTTGTACCTGATGATGATTGCTTGTGTTGCAATCGAAACGTCATATGCTATTATTTAATGCATTATTTTCTCTTTCTACTTGACTTTACCGAAAGAACCAAAGAGTGGGATAGTCGTGCGAGAGATTCCCACTACATCAAGATAGATTGGCCACTCCAAGTCATTGGAGCCTGGGAGGAAAAGTGTTCAGCATCCACTAATTGTTGAATCAAGGAATATTTTGTTACCACACTTACACACCAAGCTGGGTCTGATAAAGAACTTTGTCAAAGCCATGGACAAAACACAAGCAGCTTTCAAGTACCTCCGTGGAAAATTTCCAAAGTTAAGTAAAGCTAAGATAAAGGAAGGTGTCTTTGTTGGTCCTCAGATTCGTGAACTTCTTCGAGATAATGCATTTGACAGTGCACTGCGTGGCAAGGAAAAGACGGCATGGAAAGCCTTCCAAATTAGTGGCAACACATTTTCTCGGAAACAAGGCAGACAACTACAGGGAGTTGGTGGAAAACCTCAAGACATACAAAAGCCTTGGTTGCAACATGTCACCGAAGATACATTTTTTTGCACTCTCATCTAGATTTTTTCTCACCGAACTGCGGAGCAGTGAGCGACGAGCACGGCGAGCGATTTCACCCAGGACATCGCGACAATGGAGACACGCTATAAGGGCAAATGGAGCCCATCAATGCTTGCAGACTATTGCTGGACAGTGACAAGAGATTCTCAATTTAATGAATACAAGAGACAAGCCAAGAAGCGCCAAGTAGACACTGAATAAGGACTAAACTACGTACTTATACATAATAGTTTTTTGCCTTTTGTTTCATAATACATTGTATTTATGTAACCCTTTTGCTGATTTTAAAGTGTTACATGAACAGGACAGGTGACATGTTGCCATGTAAAGCAACCATAAACACATGAAAATACCTAGGTTTACAATTTATGAGTAAAACTCTATATACACAATATACATAGATGTCAAATGTAAAAACTTAAATATCTTTGGAACAGTAGCCAATCGGTTGTTTTGTCATATTTGAATTCAGCACATCAGAATCCATAATAAACAGCACATTTCATCTCTGAAGCAGACGACGTTTAAAAAATTGTAGACCAGTGTTATCGTTGGTGTCTGGGCGGAGACTATCAACTTGCTGTAATCAATTTGAGTGGCAGGGTGGCAGCGCAGTGGTAACACTTGTGCCTCATAGCAAAAAGTCCTCAAGTTCGATTCGGGCACTTTCTGTGTAGAGTGTGTTTTACCCCTGATCTGCATGAGTTACCTCCGGGTTATCTGGTTTCATCCCATCGGCCAAAACAATACAACGTAAATTGTATTGGCCAAACGTTCCAATGATAACCCCCCTCCCTTGCAAATGCATCAATTAGGATTACAGGACACAGAGGAACCATCGCCCACGACTGCAGAAACTTGGTAGGACCATCCTGAATAGTCGAGTTCTGCCAAGTTATCGACGAATGTGTTGAGGTTGTTTTTATTGTTACATGTGAAACATCTACCAAACCCTGGCTACTCAATGCTGTCCTTTTCGTCACTCAGAATTGGGCTTAAACAACCCCCAGCTCTCAACCAGAGCCAGACCCTCCACTTTTCATATTCTCAAGTTCTGTCACCTCTGCTAACTTTAACGTTCTGACGTCATGTCTCCCCTGCTCGTGCCTCATACAGCCGACTCCACCGTGACGTCACCCCGCGACGTCGCCCCGTTCTTGGTTACGCTCGACGCAGGAGGGGTTTTTATGACGTCACCGCCCGGCTCCCTCGTGACGACGTCACGCCGTAAGCCCGTGTTTTATTTTTGTCGACACAGCTCGTCGCAGCGTTACGTCGACCAACGTCACTTCCCGCGCTCAGCTGTAGGGGACGGGCAGAGGGCTCCGAGAGAGTTTCGCTCCCGAGGATACTCGGCTCGCCCTGACGCCGCCGCCGTCTCACACACACCCCGCCGCGCACATCGCGAGCGCGTTAGCAAGGATTCTACCCACGGCCGTCGTCTCGTTCCTCCACACAGCCCTGCGGCGCGTGGGGGTGGCGGGCAGGCGAGACGCGGAGCCGCCCCGCAGACACTCGACAATGGCGGAGGAGGCGCGGAGCGCGGCGCGGCCCGGGTCCCCGCGGCCCGGCTGCTCCTCGCGCGTGGCGAGGACGGGCGGCGTCGGCGCGGGCAGCGGCAGCAGCGTGGTGCACAGCCTGGCGCGACAGCGGCTCGGGCAGCAGCGCCTCGCCAGCGTGGTGCAGGTAGCGCCGGGGAAAGAATGGTGGGGAGTTGGGGAGGGGGTGGTTGACGGGGAAGAGGCCCCTTGCCAACGCGGGTGACGTCTTGGCGGCGCGCTACCCCGGTGGCCATGTTGCTAGGGGGGTAGCTGCCGCTCGTGTTGGGGAGTAAGCGGAGTGCGACTCCATCGCTGCGATTTTGCGTCGCTCAACATCGCAAATAAAAGTGGCCCCCTCTACCTTGGTAAGATGGCCGGTGTGGCCGCAATGCCGGAGGCCCAACGGAGGATAGAGAAACGGAATTAAAAGGCACGGAGGCTGCTGTTGTTGTTCCTCTCGTCACAGTCGAAACGGGGCAAGCGAGCGCAGGCTGCTGCGATAAGGCTTCTCCGTGGCCAGAGAGAAGGGCGAAGCTAGTTACTCGGCGATATAAGGCAGTTGACGGCGGACGTCAAGTTAACGACGTAGCAGGGTTAAGGGTTCCACATTTTTCTACAAACCGATCCCGGACATGTTTTTGGGTTAACACATCCATGAAAACAAAATGCAGTACCTGGTCTGAGTTCATGTTAGTTCCTGCCACCCAAAACACAGATGACAGTGCCCGGGACTGTACGTGTAAAATCTAGACAAGGTAGGGAGAAATCAGACTGGGTCGAGGCAATACGCTTATATCTCCTAAGATGAGCAAATTGTCACCATTATAAAGAGATAGCAAACATTGTAAGAGGCAGAACGCTGAAAGTTCAGTGCATGGTAAAATAGGACAAATCATCTGAAAACACGGTGGCGAGATTTTAACTACCTCGCCTAGCGTGTCGGTTAGATTTTGACGCCTGCTGTATATTTAGATTTTGCATGTTCTCCCCGTGGTCGCGTGGATTTTTCTCTGGGTCTTCCGGTTTTTCCCTCCACATTTAGAATCAACACGCATTTAGAGTATTTGTCTGCTATACATTTATATGTGATAAGCCACTTCGTTGAGCTATTATTTGTGGCCATGTCGCTTCTGAAAAAGAGCTATATAGATACGCGGGCTTTACCTGCTAAAATAAAAAAATAACGCGTTGAAGAAAATGAGATGTGATAAGTGATAAAAATATCAAAGCATAGAATACACTGTAAACCCATTCCAGATTTGAAGCTTCCGTGACTGCAAGGATCCATACTCTTTGGTTCTATTCGGTAAAGTCACGTAGGTAAAAAATAAAACAACAAAATCACGACGTTTCGGCCACAACACAAGTGGCCTTCTTCAGGTGAAGGAACAGAACTGTCGGAACGACAGCACTTCAATAAACGCTGCTAAGATTCGCATCGTCTTTTAAGCTCGGTGGGAGGAGCAGAGCGCCTTGACAAAGGAGTTTACATATCAAACAGGAGAATTTAGCATTGAAGCAGCAGGGTATTAAAGTCAGAAAACTAGCATGTAACTGGGGGATTAGCATGCTTTTGTTGTGTCGAGGGTGCGGGGGATGGGTCACTGTGTGTGTGCAATAGAAACGAAGAAATTAATCGGCAAGAATGTGCTGTAACGGGGGGGGAGTAGAAAACAGGGGAAATAGAAAAGCTTAAATGCAGGTTAAAGGGGGGGGGGAGCCATGTAGGGGACCTTGGTGGGGTGCGGGGCTGAGTTAATCCGTCTTTTTGTTGTGTAGAGGGTGATGGGTCACTGTGTGTGTGCAATAGAAACGGAAAATAGAAACATTTAAAATCGGCAAGAATGTGCTGTAAGGGGGGAGTAGCAAAATAGGGGTTTAATAGAAAGTTCGGAAGGAATATGATTGGTATACCACTACTTGAAATTTAGCATTGAAATAGCTGTGTTAAGTTGTTGAAACAGCAGGGTGTTAAAGTCAGAAAACTAGCATGTAACTGGGGGATTAGCATGCTTTTGTTGTGTAGAGGGTGCGGGGGATGGGTCACTGTGTGTGTGTAATAGAAGCGAAAACATTTAAAATCGGCAAGAATGTGCTGTAACGGGGGGAGTAGCAAAAAAGGGTTTAATAGAAAGTTCGGAAGGAATATGATTGGTATACCACTACTTGAAATTGCTGTTAGAAAATTAGCTGACGTTTGGTATGATTAAAAACGTCTTTCCAATGGTTGCTTAATTTGAAACCATCCACTCGGTTGAAGTTATGCCTGTGTTTGTATATCTGAATGGCTTCGTGGACAAATCTCTGGTGATAACCTGTAGGTTTACAGAGTACCTTGGTATCGGAGAAAACTATACCGTGATCACCCACAGCGTTGTAACAGTGATCAGCTACAGCAGAAGAATTCGTTCTGTCGTGTTTCGAATCTGATTTGTGCTCGCGAATTCGGTCAGAGACATGTCGTTTCGTCTCCCCAATATAGCAGTCACCACAGGTGCAGATCAATTTGTAAACCCCGGGGTACTGTAAGTCAGGAATGACATCCTTCACGGAATGGATCAGGTCACGGATTTTGTGTACTGTATTGAACCGGACCAGGATCTTGTGTTTGTTTAGAATTTTGGAGATCTTTTTAGTAACGCCTGCTATATATGGTAGTGTGATGGTTTTGATCGGAGTATCAAGTGGTTGTTTCTGTATGGAGGGAGAAACAGCTTGGGGGATGGTACGGTCAGAGTATCCGTTCCTTTTGAGGGCCAGATGGTCATGTTTTAATTTACTGGTCAGGTGGTGTTGGTCCGAAATGCAATGAGCCCTGTGGTATAACGTTTTGATGAGATAATTATTTTGCGTCGGGTGGTGGTGGGAATCAGGTTTCAAGTAGGAATATGTGTGGGTGGGTTTCCTGTAGACAGAATGTCCCAATGAGCCATCAGGTCTCCTCTCAAACAGGACATCCAAGAATGGCAGCTTGCCATCTTTCTCCACTTCCATGGTGAATTTGATGGCGGGGTGTCTGGAATTGATGTGGTCTAGGAAAAGGTTCAAAGCTGGCAGGCCATGTGGCCAAATGACGAAAGTGTCGTCTACATATCTCTTCCACTGGGAAGGTCTGAGGGTGGAAGTCTGGATGGCGTCTGATTCAAATTTCTCCATGAAAACATTGGCTATCACTGGTGACAAAGGGGAACCCATGGGGGTACCCTAATTTTGTTTGTAGAAGGTGCCATTCCAAGTAAAGTTGGTATTGGTGAGGCAGTGCCTAACCAGCACAGGTGTAAATCGGGGTCTAGTTCATGTTGGACCACAATTTTCAATTATTTCAATGGTATCAGGTACTGGGACCTTGGTGAACAGAGAGACCACATCGAAGCTGACAAGGATATCGTCAGGGGACAGTACAACGTCTTTGACCATAGAGGCCAATTGGGCTGAGTTAAGTACTGCTGAGGCAGTCTTGCCAGTGAAAGGCAGCAAGGTATCTGACAGAAAACGGGCTAGTCTGTAGGTAGGGGAGTTGATCGTGGATACGATGGGTCGTAGTGGGGTGGCTTCTTTATGAATCTTGGGAAGACCATAGAATCTAGGGGGTCTTGCAGCAGAAGGTTTGAGGGAGGGACGTTTGGTTGGTTCGATTAGGGAGGTTGAACTTGTGATGATCTTATTCTTAGTTCTTTCGGTAAAGTCACGTTGAAGGGAAACAACAAAATAATAAAATATATATAAAACAATAAAAATTCTCACGACGTTTCGACCATAACACAAACGGTCGTCTTCAGGTGTGTTGGTTTGCATAAATGTATTTTTAAACGGTGCATTTATTTATTTATAAAAAACGTTAGCGCCACGTGCAGCGATTTGGCAGTTTATTTAGGACTAGTCCATCTATATTCTGAAAAGAGGAGGGGGGGAGATGATTTTTTTTATTATAATGTATGCTGTCTGAAAGCCACTGTAAGCGTGAACAATCAATGAAGACCTGAAATGGTTTATCAAATCTTTCCAATGATTGCTAAGATATAATCCATCTCGGTTGAAATTGTCTCTGTGCTTGCATATGTGGATAGCCTCATGAACGAATCTCTCATGGTAGCCAGATGGCTTACAAAGAACCTCTGTCTTGGAAAAGTCAATGGCATGTGAGCCTACTGAATTATAACAATGATCTGCCACGGCCGAGGTGTTGGTCCTACCGTGTTTAAGGTCTGCTTTGTGTTCACGAATGCGGTCCGAGACATGGCGTTTGGTTTCTCCAATGTAACTACTACCACAGAGGCAACTTAGTTTGTAGACACCAGGGTATTGTATGTCCGGAATCACATCTTTTACAGACGGAACCAGATCACGGATTTTATGTAATGTGTTGAAACGGACCTGGATTTTGTGTTTATTCAAGATTTTGGAGATCTTTTTTGTGATCCCCGCAATGTAGGGTAAAGTGATGGTTTTGAAAGGCTCCTCAAGAGGGTCCTTCCTCATGGTTTGAGTGATAGCTTTGTAAGCCATCTGGCTACCATGAGAGATTCGTGCATGAGGCTATCCACATATACAAGCACAGAGACAATTTCAACTGAGAAGATGGATTCTATCTTAGCAATCATTGGAAAGATTTGATAAACCATTTCAGGTCTTAATTGATTGTTCACGCTTACAGTGGCTTTCAGACAGCATACATTATATATATAAAAAAAATTCGTCTCCCCCCTCCTCTTTTCAGAATATAGATGGACTAGTCCTAAATAAACTGCCAAATCGCTGCGCGTGGCGCTAACGTTTTTATAAATAAATAAATGCACCGTTTAAAAATACATTTATGCAAACCAACACACCTGAAGACGACCGTTTGTGTTATGGTCGAAACGTCGTGAGAATTTTTATTGTTTTATATATATTTTATTATTTTGTTGTTTCCCTTCAACGTGACTTTACCGAAAGAACTAAGAACATGAATTACTGCAGTCACGAAAGCTTTAAATCAAAATTTGTGATGATCTTGTTGGTTTTTATCGTTAGGCTATTAGTAGGGTCATTTTTAATTTTTGAGTAACTTCCATCGTTGAGCAGGTTCTGGATTTTGCTGTTGTATAAATCTTTATCCATAATTACAGTAGTGTTGCCTTTGTCGGCTGTGAGGATGACTATATCATTTCTGTTTTTTTTAATTCGCGAGTTCAGAGCGTTCATTTTTGCTGATGTTGCTAATGGGTTTCTTAGCATTCTTAAGCATTCTTAAGAATAGTGGCTATTTCAGATCTCGCAACGTCTGCTTGGATGTGTCCTATGCCTTTGAGGAATCTCAAACAGAATCTGTTTAGAATTCGGAGAAGATACAGCAGCAGAAGTGAGTGTGAAAGCGATGGGTATTACCTTGTGGTCGCGGCATCTTTTGAGGAAGGTCAGCGTCTTGTTTTGATGAGCTGTGGGAAGAATAGGGAAATGAGAGGACAAAACAATTTAAGATGTCATAATATGCATTTGGAACATAAATGCGTTAAGAAGTTTAAGGTAAATCGCTCATAGTAAGAGGGCTAGACGAAGCCACAAAATCATCATGGAGGAATTTTATGCAGTCAAATTCCAGATGTCACGCCTGAAGAGGTAAGCACTGATTGACAGGATGAGAAAGGGAAGCTCCTGGACCAGATGCAGTCATTGGACTAAACTGATTAGCATTTCAGAATTTTAATATTTATTCTGGAGGAATCTGATGAGCTATAAAGCTCTTTTTCACATATGTCCAGTTGGGGTGGAGCAGAACGTTACAACAACAAACAATACAAAAACACGATCGGAGTGCAAAGTTTAGGAAAAGTAAGCAAATCAAAAATATACAAATAGAACTAAACTATGTTTTATCTTACTAGGTAAAGCCTGGCGAGGCATTAACTTATTTTTCTGAAGTGACCTGGCCACAAATGATAGTTCATCAAAGTGGCTTATGTGGAAATTTATAGCAGAAAAATAATATAAAAATAATCTCAATGCATGATAAATTCACTGCTGCATGATAAATTCACTGCTGCATGAAGGCTTGTACAATTTATCGCCATCAGTCTTGTTATGCAACAGTCCATTGGACACTTCCACACGAAGAGAGGTCTTCTCAGGCACGATCCCTCCTTTTTCTGCCACTCCATTGTCAGTCTCAGCCACCAGCCATCATCTCTTCGAGCGACATGGCCTGTCTAATGAAATGCTTCTTGCCAAGTGATTTCTAACTTGTGTGTTTTGTAATCCATTTGTTCCTCTGTCCCAGTGAATTCCATGTATCCCCCGCTCCAAATGTTTATTTGTGCACTTTTACGTTTTTGTTGCATTTTCTTCTTAGTGTGTTTGTCATAGAAGATTATATACTCATTAAAAACGTTATTCTTTAGCCACATTTGTTCCTTTTTATTTTTAATTGGCGTTTTCTTTTCAAAGTGCAACCTGCTTCTCATTCAACTCGTTGATTTCTTCATTTGTATTATGGTCCACCTTCAATCACTGCCCTAGGTAAAAATAATTTAAATTATTGTCGAGTTGTGTTCGTATGTCAGCTATCTTTTAATGTTTATCAAACTTGTACCTGACTTTTGTTTCGCCTCTAATTAACCCACTGCATGCAGCCTTTAAGAAAATATAGAATTTCAAATAGTTTATTCCCATTTTGGTGTAATAATTATGTTGCCAGCAAAACTTTGGTGGTTACTATTTTCTCCATTTATATATGTACCTTCCTTTCTGTAATCCAATTCTTGAAAAACTACATGTTAAACAGGCTGCTGCAGGATGAAATGCTGCCGCTCTAAAATAGTTCTGCACCAATCAGTGACCCCAACCTAACCCCCTTGCATCCTTTTTGTTCGATCCATGGTTGTTGATTGTTGCTGCCAAATCTATCTTTCAATGTACCTATCTCTGTGTCTCTCCCTCTGTATCTCCATGTCTCTTACCTCTCTTGTGTGTCTCTGTGGGCCAATTGCTCAAGGTTGGTAGTGCTTAACCGAATGGTTTTGAACAACAATTTCCAATATTTAAGACTTTTTAAAAATAAAAATAACTTCTATGACCATGGTGACCTCAATAACCTCGATTTACCAAAGGGGGATGTGTTCTTCAGAAAACACGCGTGAAACTAAATTTCGTAAATCAGAGTGGCTTTTCCCATTAATTGAATAAAAAAATACGCATGTGTTTCAGGACAGTCATTCCAACTACTCTTAACCTAAAAATATACACCTGCATCACTTTTCACAATATAAAAATGATAACAAAGAATGTAAATATTAAAACGGTTGAACAATAATTCATTTAAAACCAAAATATATTTTTTGCATGTTGAAAGAACTGGAAAGGTGATGTGGAGGCGTTACTGTTGCACTGCAGGGATACCATGACTCTATCGTGGATGGATGATGCAGCCTCCCGGGTGTTTCTTGTTTGATAGTCTCATGGCGTGTGCCTTGTGAAATATCGTCGACGCGGAAATTCGATTTTGTTAATCGAAAAGTGTCCATAATTTGTCATTGCGTTAACGAAAAATGTCATAAACCGAACGTTCATAAATCGATGCATACCTGTATTGAACTGGGTTGCATAATTAGTTTCTCAAAATTAGCAGGTGGTTGTGATTGATTGTATGTTGACGCATGTCACTGTTAACCAAGTATTGCACTGCCTGTTCTCATACATTCTTCTGTAATTACAGATGCCAGAACCAGTACTGAAGTTACGAGACAAGCGAGCCAAGTGGAATAACATTCCCCAGTCAATTCGCCGTCTCTACGACAACAGTCAACCACACAACATCAATTACACAGAATGCATCTCTACCCTCCAGGTACCCCTTTCAGAAATGATCCGTGCCGTAATGATTGTAATTCCGAGGTAATAGCCTGACTTGTGACCGAACACGACTACTGAGGTGTTTTTTACTTGAATGTTTTCGTTGGGTTGCTGCTACATGTACTACCAAGTAGTATGGGCAGCAGGGTATCTCAGTAGTAAAACGTGTCCCTCACAGCAATAACTTTCTGAGTTTAATTCTTCACTTGGGTGCTTTTCTGTGTGGAGTGTGTATGTTCTCCCCCTGTTCTGCATGGTTTCCTCCGGGTTCTCAAGTTTTCTCCCATGTAGCTGTTCTAAATTTAGGCTGTTGAATGTCTTCCATGAAACCCAATTAAAATGCAGGGCATAAAATGTTGTCATTCTTCTAACTTGTCCGTTGTCCACAGGATCTCATTTCATTGATGACTGTGGAAGGGATGGATTACAGTGCCGATTATGGGAAGGTGCCCCAGCCAGCAAAGTTCATTAATGCCGACGTGTTTGACCTCTTTGGAGGAGTGGAGGTATGTGCCACCACTTTAAGCCGTTCTCTCTATTGTCAAACTAATGCTGTCACCATCTGTTGCGGTCCTGCAATGTCAGCATACATCTCATTCCTGCACATGAACGGATCTCATCGCTCCATTTCTATAGCAGTTGTCCTCTTCGGTGCGCTCTCTGCTCATGCAATTTGTGAGTGTGCTGGTTGAGCGGTGAACTTTATGCACATTTTTTCACCATATGAAACTAATCATGCTAATCAGAGGTGCGGGAGAAGGACATTGTTTCATTTTAAGTGTCTCAATTGTTACCCCCCATTTTTTAACAGTGCACTGTTTGCCTTTAAGTCATCCCATTGTGGTCGCATCTGAACATTGTACAGCAAGTGTGGTGGCCAACTTCATGGGAGGCAGGCGATGCAGTGGTTAACACTTTTGTCTCACAGCAAGAAGTGCCTGGGGTTCGATGCCTGACACAGGTGCCTTTCTGAGTAGAGTTTGTACTTCCTCCTGTTGTCCAGGATCTCCGCTTTTTCCCCATAGCTTATACAAACAGTACAATGTAACTGGTATTGGCCAACATCCCAATGCAGTAAAATTACCTGCCAAGTTGGGATTGCACATAGCAGCATTGCCCCCTCCTGACAGTCTATAACTGTCTGTGAAACAGCACTTTTGTGAGAGCCCTGCACTGTAAGAAGAGCGCAAATTTCAAGTGTACTTAATTACTCATTACTAATTAATAAGCATTTATGAACGTGGTACATTATTGTTGTATTTGCTGTTGACTCATCAGCCACTCAAGTCTGGTGTGCTCAGCCACTGTGATAAATAGCGTAATTTTGAATGTAAATCGTTTCTGAGGAGCATTGCTGTGCATTGATCTCATCAGTTTGTAAAGCTATGGTTTGCGAGATGTTAACAACCTCACTTGGTAAACAAAAGATTGTGGGTTCGATCCCGACCCTGACGCCTGTATATTTGGAGTGTGTGTGTTCTCCCCGTGGTCATGTGGATTTATCTCCAGGCCCTCCAGTTTTTTCTTTCCACATTTAGGAACATGCGTTTATAGTATTTGGCTGCTATAAATTTCCACGTGATAAGCCACTTTGTTGAGCTATTATTTGTGCCCAGCTCGCTTCTGAAAAGAGCTCTATAGCTCAGTGGGCCTTACCTGGTAAAATAAAAGTTGTTTATAGTTTTATGTCATTCAACAGTATCTTCATTTTGATTTAAAGCTTTCGTGACTGCAGGGATTCATATTCTTGGTTCTTTTGGTAAAGTCACGTAGAAGGGAAACAATAAAATAATAAAACAATAAAATTATCACGACGTTTCGACTGCAACACAAGCAATCATCATCAGGTGTGAAAACCACAGCAAGAAAATTTGAAAAAAGTGGCGGGTTTTATTGACATTAGCACCACGGAGAGCGATTTGGAAGTTATTCAGATGGACGAGTCCATCTATGTTCGAAAAAAGGGGAGGGGGGGAGACGAAAATAATAGATGCGGTCTGAAAGCCACCGTAAGCGTGAACAATCAATTAAGACCCGAAATGGTTTATCAAATCCTTCCAATAATTGCTAAGCCAGATGGCTTGCAAGACAGAGGTTCTTTGCAAGCCATCTGGCTACCATGAGAGATTCGTTCATGAGGCTATCCACATATACAAACACAGAGACAATTTCAACCCAGAAGATGGATTCTGGCTTGGCAATCATTGGAAGGATTTGATAAACCATTTCGGGTTTTAATTGATTGTTCATGCTTACGGTGGCTTTCAGACCACATCCATTATTTTCGCCTCCCCCCTCCTCTTTTCCGAACATAGATGGACTCGTCCATCTGAATAACTGCCAAATCGCTCTCCGTGGTGCTAACGTCAATAAAACCCGCCACTTTTTTCAAATTTTCTTGCTGTGGTTTTCACACCTGATGATGATTGCTTGTGTTGCAGTGGAAAACGTCGTGATAATTTTATTGTTTTATATTGGTATTTTTTTATTGTTTCCTTTCTATGTGACTTTACCGAAAGAACCAAGAATATAGTATCTTCATTGTTGTTCAAGGCCTTTTATTAGTGAGTCAACCTTACAAACAAAACACAATCCCATGTGTGTAGTGCAGATTACACTGCATATATAAATATTCCACTAAAGCCAAATAAAGGTATTTGCTTTGATGACACCTACAGAGTCAAAATCTAAGTGTCTCAGCTCAAACATTTATGGGGAGCTTCACATCCTTTTGCCACTCCTCAGTTGTGGAAATTCCGCATTCCGAAAGCAGAGGTCAGTCTCCATAGGGTCACCACTGGAATTGTCGCATCGAGACCTATTTTATCATCCCTGGAGGGATGATGGGCTGAGTCTGGTCTCCACCTACAGTTTTAATGACTGCAATTGTGTGAGTACAGATTGTGAAATGTAAATTTCGACTTCGTTGTGTACCTAGTATTCAGTAAATGTGTTAAAATATTATTTTTTTACATACGTCTAAAATACACGTCGTGTTAAACTATTGTCTCCCTTGTATTTCACTTCTCAGCTGCTCGTGGATGTCCTGATGAGACCAACGTTACTCCCACAGGACCAAAGCAAGCTTAGAAGTAAGCCATGCATTAATCCGTTGTGGATAATGATGGAAATGTTGCAGTTAACAAACAATGACATGACGGTGTAATGCATGCGCTGTTCTCGATTTTCTCCCGTGATGTTATAATGAGGGGCAATTTGCTCGTTATTTATTCTTACAACTTCAGTGCACAGAGTAACAAAAATAAATTAACTGCTGAATTAGCTCACATTGTACACACTTTCATTTGCAGTCAGGACTTAATGAATAATTTCGTTAAAAGGACATGAAAATACATTATCCGAAAGTTACAGCATAAGCGACTAATGGAGTAGGGGTGTGTATGTGATAAATATTGAGTGTGAATCTGATACTCGGACTACTGACAATGAGTTGCACAACTGTTATCTTTCATCTTGTATATCTCTCATCCCAAAACCTTGGAGATGGCATTTTTAAAAATTAATATCATGAAAATCAGAACGATGTGTGCAGGTTAGTGAAGGTGTAGAGCATAGATGTGGGAGCAATGGATTTCCCACGCACTGCCCTCTGCTGCCCAAATACAGCTATCAGCCTACAACACTTGTTGTATACATGACGGTCACCCATCCAAGCACTCTCCAGGATCAAATCTTGCTTCTCTTGGGAGATCTGACCAGTTTGGGCACATTCAGGGGTGCCACGGTGGCGAGATGTTAACTCCCTCGCCGAGTATACAGGAGAGGCCGTGGGTTCAATTCCAACCCTGACGCCTAAATTTTTGGCGTTTGCATGTTTTTCCCAATGGTTGCGTGGATTTTTCTCCGGGTCCTCTGGTTATTCTCTCCATATTTAGAAATATTCATTTAGAGTATTTAGCTGCTATAAATGTCCACATGATAAGCCACTTCATTCAGCTATCATTTCTGGCCAGGTCACTTCTGAAACAAACTACATAGCTCGTGGGCCTTACCTGGTAAAAGTAAAAACTGGTTAGTTTATTCTGGGCTATTTGGTCACTGGCAGAAATATAGCTGCTGTTGTGTAATATTTAAATGGCCATGTTACCTTTCAGGTTCCACAACCTTATATTCTAGTCATGATAAAAAAGAAAGTTGCTAATGCAGGGACAAATGTAAATATTAAAATAAAACCTCCCCGAATATGCCTATTTTGCTGCTTCCTTCTAGCGGCATTGCCATTTAACGTTTAAAACACTATTCCCTGTATGAGCACTCATGTCACATGCGTAAGTGTTAATATGACATCATGGATATGTGACCTGGTGAACTTGTTTTTGTGTTGCAGTACAAATGCACCTGACCAAAGCGGTGCTGGAGGTGCTGCACAATGTCTGCATGTGTGTAAGTATGATTTGACAAGGCACACTTGGAATCTTCAAAGTCCCTGAATAATTTCAATATCATTAGTCATGACACCGGAGTACACGAATGAAAAATGAAAATAAATGTAAACGTGTGAAAAGGTGTTTAGATATAATTTGAGCATTTGTCATTATCATGATCATCAACGGCTGTGTTAAGTCCTCTACCGGATTAAAGGGCTCCCGCACGTTACTATCCATGGCCTTGTTATTCGTGTTTGCTATGCACGTGTCAACGGACACCCTGGAAACCCTTGCAATTGAGATGTTCCATCTCAAGGGATTTTTCACGCAAGTGCCCATACCCTCCCAATTTGTTCCTGCCCCGTGTGCCTTTGCCCTTTCGTGTGCTTCTGCCCTCATGTGCCCATGCCTTCGTGTGTTCATACCCTCTCGTGTGCCCATGCCCTTGTTTGTGCCCGCCCTCTCGTGTGCTCCTGACCTCGTGTTCCCGTGCCCTCTCGTGACCTGCAGACGGAACGCGTGGCCAAGCGCCTCTCCGAGCGGCTGGAGTTCGTCATGTATCTCTTTACGCTGATGTCAGAGAAGAGAGGCTACCTGCAGGCAGCCTCGCTCATGGAAGACGTGCTGGGCACAAAAAAGGTGAAAAAACACCTCGCTGGGAACCCAATTTGGTTCCCTTAGTCTTACTCTTTGGTTCTATTGGGTAAAGTCACGTAGGTGAAAATAACATAACAAAAAATCACGACGTTTTGGCCACAACACAAGCGGCCTTCATCAGGTGAAGGGACGAGACTGTCTGGAGGACAGCGCTGAGACTGACTGGGACGAGACTGTCCTCCAGACAGTCTCGTCCCAGACAGTCTCGTCCCTTCACCTGATGAAGGCCGCTTGTGTTGTGGCCGAAACGTCGTGATTTTTTGTTATTTTATTTTCATCTACGTGACTTTACCCAATAGAACCAAAGAGTATGGATCCTAGCAGTCACGAAAGCTTTAAATCTAGAATCCCTTAGTCTTGCTTTGCAAAATCCAATTTAATTGCTTATTCTGGTGAATATTGACAAAAATTGTGACAGGTTTTATATATGTCATACTTAATATGGAAACAGGTTAATTTTGGTGCAGGTTTGTATCGTTTTTATTCGAGCTTGATGTATATATGTAGAACTTATTTTACACCGTACGTAGGTGTGGGGAAGGACAACAAACTAAACAAAAAATCGTGTGCTGGGAAGAATAAGAATAGGTTTTATCCTTTCTGGCAATATACCAGGTATTTAGATGTTCAAACACCAAATAGATATCTTTTTGCAAGGCATCAAGTTTGCATTTACCACACGTACTTGTGGCAAAACATGCCAACAAATGCATTGTCTTTGAAACTGCCCTACACCAGAGAGACACCAGTGTTAGACCAGAAAAAGACATTGCAGGTATCGGTGCACTTATAGGTCCGATACCAGGACGTTGCGTCACTGTCGCACTACACACGGCAGACGTGTAAACTTTGGCACTTGTGCCCGGCCGGTGTGGCGTCTAGGAGATGATCCTGCTGGAGGAGATCCCGGACCTGGTGAAGCTCATCGCCCGCTTCGACCAGCACCAGTTCGCCAACTTCTGCCGTGTGCTCTCGGTGATGGTGTCCGAGCTGGAGCCAGCGGGAGACGAGAACCAGACGCTGCTGGCTCAGAACGAGCAGCTGCGCAGGCACTGCAACCCCACGTCGGCCGAGGTGAACCAAGGTGAGTCCGGTCATTTTATAGGAAAGCTGGTCAGGATATATATCTACTTGCTGCCCCCATTTGAATTCCACTGTGCACTATTTGGCAGCAGAGGGGCGTAGTGGTAACACAACAAGAAGACCCTGTGTTTTGAATTCCAATTCGAGTGACTTTCTGTGTGGAGTTCGTGTGTTGTCCCCCTGTGATGCATGTTTTTTTCTGAGTTCTCTGGCTTCTACAGACAAAAACAGTATAATGTAACCGGTATTGGTCAATACATCCCTTTGCTCAAAAATAACACGCATATTACCAAATTGAGATTATACAAAGCAATCATTGCCCACAGCTGTAATAACTTTGACAGGGACTCTCCTGAAAAATGCTCTTGATGCTCAGGCTTTCCTTGATAAAACAAGCATCTTAATAATAACAGCATTATTTGATTGATCTTCCAGCAACGCTGCTGAACATCCCGGGAATCGTGAAGCGACTGTGCGAGCTCGCAACGCAGAAGACGACCGAGAGGCAGAGCCCTTTCGTCTTCCTGCAGGAGCTCGAGCACTGGCTCAACCTGATGGACAACTCCATCGCCCTGGACATGACCACGTACATCGTGGACGAGAGCGACTTGGATACGAGCATGGGTAAACCCGCCTCTCCATTCTCACACCCAGCGAAGGGAAAGCACCACCCCGTGTGGTGGTTGGCTCTCACACTTTTCAATATGCCAGTGCCTTGTGATGTCCAGGTGAAAGCTGCTTTAGATGTGTAAATTGTTATTACATCGTAACACTCTCATCAATGCTTTCATTGTAACTTGGCTGATCCGCCCCCTTACTAGACATCTGTGAAAAAGAGCTTCCTAGCTCCTCGGATTCCTCCAGGATAAATAAATATTCTGAGATAAAATAAAGATTCTGATTCTGAACGTACCAGACGAGTGGTTTCAATGTAACCTCGTCATACTTAAACTCAACACATTTGTCAATAACATGGTGCTTTTGAAATAAAAAGATATAAATGGCGACATTTCGGGCAACGACCCTAATTAGTAACACATGGTTATACTGGCATCCATGTTGTATTATTAGTGACCCCCACAATTTTTAAAGTTTTATTTGAAATTAAAGACATTAAAAATGTTACATTAAATATTGTTATAAGTGCACTTGATTATAACAAGATTTTGAATTATAGACTTTAAATTCTATGATCATGCATTTAGATCCTGTCATATCTCGGAAGTTAAGCAGGTTTGAGCCTGGACAGCGACTGGATGGGCGACCACCATGCGAGGCAGATCATTATGGTGTGCGGGGATAGCAGTGCGGTGGGCAGTGCATTAAAAGCGATTATTGTACTGTAAATTTCGATTTAAAGCTTTCGTGACTGCAAGGATTCATCTTCTTTGGTTCTTTCGGTAAAGTCACGTAGAATGAGAATAAAATAATAAATTGATAAAATACAATAACACAATAATATTCTCACATTATTGTGTTATTGTATTTTATCAATTTATTATTTTATTCTTATTGCACTGTACTTCTATGCTCCCTCATCTAAACGTCTGGTTAGTACCCGCTTTGACTAGTGCGGTCAAACATTGTCAAATATTTTAAAAAATTACATTATATTGACCAGCGCGGCATGGGGAGTCCCCTAATCCAGTTGTTGGTTCACATAAGGGCTGCACGTGCATTAATTGTGACAACGCTGCAGGTTCAACAGGATGAGTGTTGACCGTGTGCGCCGCAGCAGCGAGACGTTAACTACCTCACTTGGCATAGAGTGGGTAGTGGGTTCGATCCCGACCCTGATGCCTGTTTTATATTGGAGTTTGCTTATCTCTCTCCCTGTGGTCATGTGGATTTTTATCTGAGTCCTCCAGTTTTTCCCTCTACATTGAGAAATATGCGTTTCGAGTATTAGGCTGCTATACATTTCCACATAAGCTATTTTGTTGGGCTGTCATTTGTGGTCAGGTCGCTATATAGCTCAGTGGGCCTTACCTGGTGAAATAAAAAGTTTTAAGTTTAGTGCGTGCGTGTGAACTTGTGCGATGTCAGAGATGGAGCACAGTGACCACCATATGATCGACCAGCTCCCGCTCACCATGCACGAGGTGTACAAGGTGGAGGTGCTCTACCTGCTGTGCGTGCTGCTGACGGGAAAGCACCGCGACCAGGTACTACCCACGGCCCCCTTGGGGCCCCCTCCCTCCCTTGTAAGAGGTGGGCATAGCCACACCGACTGTGGTATACTCATTCCTACTGCTGCGTGGTAGAGACGGGGTGGGGGGGAATTTAAGAACTCTGCCCCATTATTTTTCACGTACAGAGCTGGGAGAAATAATGCAGAGTAATACCATTGTATAATCATTATGCGAGCTTAAGGATTGATTCAGTTTCAGAGTTTAATGATTAAAAATGTTATCTGTGTGTTCAGAGTAGGGAAACAGAATTCATCTCTGAATGAAATCTGGGTCACTTGATAACACTGTTAAGGCTGCTTTAGGAGAATGTGAGGCTGTGTCTTTGTTGTGAAGGTACACAAGCTGCTGGCAGAGTTCCGCTTGATTCCTGGCCTGAATGATCTCTTCGAGAAGCTCATCTGGAAAAATCGCTCGCACAACCACCGGCTGCACAGCCCCAACCAGAACTGCGACTGCAGCCCAGTGAGTGAAGCACTGAGAGCAGTAATCGGTGAATACGTGAACCATAATTATCGTTCTGTTTGCCTGCCTCTGGATAGACTGAGGCCCTCTTATTATTACACTTGTTTTACCCTGGGGTTTTTCGCTGAGTCTTAATGTTTTTTTCATGGATTATTATTGGCAGTATCAACCAATCACCCTCTTAATGTCCTCTGCAGGACGTGGCTCTGAAGATCCAATTCTTGAGGCTCCTGCACAGCTTCAGCGACCATCACGAGTACCTACACGCATTGCACTTCTCTAAAATTATTTCATGTTCACGTTAGGCAACTTTAATCTGTGAGAAATAACGTATTCTTGCATGAAATAAGAATCGGAATCTTTATTTATCCTGGAGAAATCCGAAATGTTGTGTGTAGGAACAGACTCAAGCAATGTAATACCTTAAAACTAGTTTATCATGCTAAACTACCTATGTGTATACAAATTATGACATTTTCCGATATTAGGAAGCCACTGGAGCTATGTGCTTTTAAATGTAGATGGAAAACTAATTTCTTTGGAACTGCTTTTTGTGTTTAGTTGTCCTTCCCCTGCACCTCCGATTAGCACGGTTGGCTACGCAAGTTCAACTTACGAAATTAAATTGGGAATGATTGCCTGATCATATCTTTTGTGTTTTTTGTTGCAGGAATAAGTATTTACTTCTGAATAGACGGGAGCTGAAGGAGCTCGGTGCCATTGCGCTCGAAGCCAAAGTCTCAGAAACCAAAGCGGTGGTCAACACAGACAGGTAACGACACACGGTCAGGTTCCCAGCAAGTGCCGCCATCCCCCTAGTTGAGGGGTCGGCAACCAAAATAGCAAGAAGAGACATTTATTTAGAATTCTGTTAAAAAAACCCTCAATATTTCAAGAGTCGCAATGCGTGTGAATACACGGGGCTGGTGGTCCTTAATAAATAACGTCACGAAGCAGTCCCGAAAGGAGCGGCAACGTGGCTCCGGAGTCGAACATTTTCCGAACCCTGCATTAGCTCGTAAAAAAAACTCGGTATCGTTGAGCAGTAATGTGGCCCAGGGGTAGCACGGTTGCCACTTGTTCCAGAGATTCGGTTCGAGTCTGGCGGGTAACCCTGGTTAATGCTGTGGGAGTGTTGACCGTGAAATACTTTGTGCCGCCTGCTACACAGTGCACGTCATTCGAAAAGAGCAGGCCATTGTGTGCCGGCGTCATGGTCCAAAGTTACCAAATTTGAAGAATTGCTTGCAAATTACTCTGTTGAGATGGCACATAGCAACATTTTTACCATGTTATTTGAGTTGAATATTGCACTTTGTTTAAACGAACAAAATCATATTCAGTTAATTCATTTTTGTGGCTTTCCACCTGCAAAATGTATGCTTAGAAAAATTGGTGTTTTGGACGTAGCTTATTAGTGCCTTTGGTTTGAGAGATCTTTCTGCAGTATCACAAACAGGAATGCCTTTTCATATATGGGTACTGTATTTCACAACAAGACGTGAATCATTTCCCGTGCGAGTCATTGTGGTTGGAACTTCTCCTGCGGTGAAGCCTACTTATTGTCGTGGACAATCCGCATGCCCCTGGGTCTCTTCCAACACGTGGGGGCAAACTGTTGCTATGGTGGAATGAAGGCAGAGAAGTGGCAATCCATGCAATGATGGATCACCCCGCATTTGTCCGTCGCCACCTATTTCCACAGCAGAGATGTCGCCCTGCTGATTATACTGCCCTTCAGTGTCCAAACACTGCCGCTGTGTCATACAATATATGTGGTTATGTATTTTAATAGTTCTTGGACACGCATGATTGTGGTCCGGCATACAGGTTTTCACAAGTGGTACTTTTTAAGAGTTGTGTAACGTGCTGCCTGTAATTTTAGGCGACCTTGATGGACAGTGGAATGGGCTGTCAAAGCAGCCCGGAGGAATTTTCATTGATATTGTGAACTCTCGTTGATTGGCTGGATTGCCCATTTGTCACTCGCACTGCATTCCAGGAGGCTGATGTGTCAAGGGGAAAAAGGGCTCCTCTCCAAGCTCATCGAGGTCATGAAGGAGGAGCCCCCCGAGTCTTCGTTCAGGTTTGTTGGGGGGGTCACCTTGCGGTGCATTTGGGATTCATGTTGACTTCATTGTGACATTTTCACTTGTCAACATTACAATGTGCACGTCATGGCTTGATTATCACCCGACTTTAAATAAAAGTGAGAAAAGTAGAAGTGAGAAACTCACCCGTGTGTTGTGCTGCATCCTTGACTGTCTCTAATGTTTGACGTTTTTTTCTTTCAGATTTTGGTTAGCGAGGGCAGTTGAGAGCTTCCTACGTGGTGCTACCTCATATGTTGATCAGATATTCCTACTCAGACGAGGGTTATTAGAGGTACGTGCCTCTACCTATACTTTACCCATAGATTTACATTCCCATATCTCTGCACAAAAATAAAGCAATTTTTCTTACTCATCCCATCGGTCATATGGCTACTACCTCACTGTTTCCCTTTCCCACAGCACATCCTGTCCTGCATCATCGACAGCGAAAGCACGTCCAGGGACATCTTGCAGAGCAACTTTGATTTGCTCGGAGAGCTCATGAAGTTCAACGTCAAAGCCTTCAAGATGTTTGACACATGCGTAGACACTGAAGAAAAGGTAGCTGACGCAACTGTAACGGTGCATCAATTTATAATACGTGCATCAAATAATTAGAATGTGAATCAGTCTTTTACCCTGGTTTCATTTTTAAAATAACAGTAACAGTACCTCCACATCCCAGTGCCTGGTTGCACAAAACGAACACAAGATTTACCTAAATTCGTATTTACATAGGAAACTAAGGATTTTTTACTGAAGTGTTTTTTAATGTAATCCGGCCTAGGTCAATTTTATTAATTCCATGTCTAAAGTCAATAGGCTTTATCCTAAATGAATAATGAAACTTGACCCGTGTTGATGTGCTGCAGTTTCAGAAATTCTTGGCGCAGATCAACAGCTCCCTGGTGGACTCAAACATGTTCATCCGCTGCATCGTACTGTCGCTGGAACGCTTCTCTCAGACCGACGACTCCACCGGTACAGAGCCATGGCAGTGAACACCCACGCAGCCATGGCAGTGCACACCCACGGAGTAATGGCAGTGCACACCCACGGAGCCATGGCAGTGCACACCCACGGAGCCATGGCAGTGCACACCCACGGAGCCATGGCAGTGCACACCCACGGAGCCATGGCAGTGCACACCCACGGAGCCATGGCAGTGCACACCCAGAGCCTCGTGTTACAGGTTAAATCGGTGTCATCATCTGTGTGATTAATGCCCACCCCCCCGTGTATATCTTTCTTTAGTCGCGGAGGTGATGCTGCAGTGCCGTCTGCTGACATACATGGCGAGCGTGGAGAACCAGCTCACCATCCTGATGCGCCTCATCAGCATTGTCCAGGTGGAGACACTCACTCAGGTATGAGCGCTTAACAGAAGCATTGCAATTGCACTTAAAAGTATTTGACAATTGCAAGCAATGCGCCTGGTAGTTGGCCCAGCGGTAGAGTAAGCATCTTGCAACTGGTAAGTTGCGAGTTTAAATCCTAGTTTGGGGTTGGCTCAGCCCATAGTCCCTCCAAGGTCGATATTAGTACAGTAGTTTCTTGGTTAAGTGACATCGGTTAACCTTCCGCCTCCCATAGGGACCCCATGGTTTCAATGAACGTAAACATTTTGATGAACGGTATGTTTACGCTATGCACGCCAGTCCGAGCGCTTGTCAGTGGGCTGAGCATCCCCTAGCCAATAGGCGACGCCCATTTGAGCATTTAGACCTCGACTGGCTTTGTTTACATTATGCTTTCTATATTCGATTAACAGTTATTTCAGTTAACAGTAGTTTTCGTGGAACAGATTAAACCGTTAACCGAGGGACTGCTGTACTACTTTGTGAGGAAGTCAATCGTGGTTGTCTACGGATAGACTTGCCCCCACCATAGTAATGCGCAATTCCCGCACTGGCTCAGTTTGTACGTACTCCACCTCTTCTGATATGGGTTTCCTCCGAGTTCTCCAGTTTCCTCTCATAGCTAATATATAACGAAACTGGTATTGACGAAACATGCCAATGCTGAAAAGTAATCTGCAAATTGCTCAATTGGTATTACACGTAACAATATTGCCCCCCTACTTTGAAAACCTGGCATAGCCTCATAAAAATGTGACGCTTGGTGAGGCTTTTCTGGATAATTAGTAGAATAATATTTTTCCACTTCGAAAAAACCCATGCCACTGCGGAGGCTCCTGTGACATGTAATGAAATGTGGTGTCATCAGCCTCGTGTAGAAACAAAACTCCAGTGAGTTTTAACACCGTTGTCGCGGTTTTGGCTGCAGGAAAACGTGAGCTGCCTGAACACGAGCCTCGTGTTCCTGATGCTAGCCCTGCGGCGAGGGGGGCTGCCCATCTACCTGAACGCACTGCGGGAGAAGGAGCTGGCTGACAACAAGCCAGGCCACGTGCTCACCAACTTCCACTCTCTGCTGCAGTTCTGGCAGACGCACTACCTGAACAAAGACAAGGACAGCACCTCCCTCGAGAACGTAAGCCCTCATTAAGTAGACAAGCCACGTGTTGAACGAGAGTGTGGGTGAGCGGTTATATGAAATCATCGATGTGTGAGTTGGTGGGTGAGTGGAGAGAGGTAGTGCAGTGGTCAACAAATTGCTACGAACCCAGTTACCCAAGTTTTGGGTCCCTCACAGTCAACATCATTGATTGGTATCTGCTTCGTGTGTTCATATAGATTTGATGTGTGTGCCTGTGCAGAGTTCCTGCATAAACTTCAGCTATTGGAAGGAAACCGTGTCCACTCTGCTGGACGAAGACCGCAGCTCCCCCTACGCCCTGCTCAGCTACGTGCGGCCGTCCTGCCTAGGCACTGACTCCGAGAACACCTGCAGTGAAAACTGATCGAGCCTCCGCCAGGCTTTGTGCAATGTCCCAAGAAACAAGTGCTTATTATTATTTCTGTTTGACACGGGGATGCTGCTGTGTTTTGGGTTCGGGGTGAAGTGTTGCTGATGAATTGGGTAGGGGGGAAATAATGTCTGGAGAAATTTTGTGGAGATCATGTAAATCACACGGTGCATCATCACATTTTAAAAAAAAAATCTGTCTAAAATAAACAACTTTTTATTGGACAAATAATTAATTTGTAACAAAGTACATAGCTAAATAAAGCAAATATTGAAACATCAGTTCATTTACAATTGCCACGCTTCAGTTATTTTACTGTATAAAAATGTGTATTGAGAATCTCAGTATGTGCCTTTAAAGCAAAGGCTCTGTTTGGGATGTGTGCTGTGGCTTCCTAATTTTTGTTTTGAACTGTTCAGAGAAAAAGTATTATTAATATTACTTTTTTGTATTTGGACTTAAAATCAGCATTTGATTTGTAATTTTAGTACGGTAAAATCATTTAATAATTTTTTCAAACACTTGGTTAAAACTGTAACATTTGTTAAATAGCACCTTAAACTCCTTGTATAATTATTACTGGTGACTTGGATAAAGATTAAATGCATCCATTCTCAAAATGTTTATGAAAGCAACCAGCTATTTCGTTTGTGTGAATTAAGGTTTAAACATTAAACTAAACTTTTTATTTTACCAGGTAAGATACAGCCCACTGAGTTATACAGTAAGTCCCCAATGGAAATCCGACCTTACAGAAATGCTCCCATAAATGATGTTAAAACAAATTCAACATGCGGAATTTTTTGCGTTTCTTAAGCGCATATAGTGCAGCGCGGTGAGGTTGCAGATGAATCCCGGAGCAATTTACACCAAAGTGCGCAGCTTTCACCGAGCCCCGAGGTAAATGGAATGTTTTGTAGCATTGTCATTGTTTTATATGCTTACAACCATCTTTTTCCCATGTTTGTATTGGTAGTGTCCTTCATTTTAAGTTTATTTCATGAGTTATTTACTGTATGTACTTTATTTAACACAATTATACTTCGATTGCTTATGGTCTTAGCTAACAGCGATCAGAGATGTCTAGGCCTAGCCTAATGCACGGTAAACGAACATTCGGAAGTGGCTCTCTGTTAACAATATAAAAATATTTCGTGGTATTCAGAAACAATTGGATACAGTATATGTTCCATTAGTTTAATTATGGGTAGTGTAGGGGTAGATATTCGATAAATGAATCATAGAAAGTGCAGAGGGTATGCACAGCGATGTGATACCGAGATAAAACGAACTAGTAATTGGGTATGGGAGGCACAATTGTTTTCGGGGATGGGATTTCATCTTGATTTTGGGGGAAAATTGTTCAGTTTCCGACATACAGAAAATGTGGGTTAAGGATCGTTCTCAGGAACGTAACCCATGAACTGTTTGTGTAGCTCTTTTTCAGAAGCTATCTGGCCACAAATGATAAAATGGCTTGTGGAAATTTATAGCAGCCAAATACTTAACGCATATTAATTCTAAATGTGGAGGGAAAAACCAGAGGACCTGCAGAAAAATCCACGCGACCACAGGGAGAACATGCAAACTCCAAACACAGGTGTCGGGATCGAGTTTATGATTTGCATACCAGGTGAGATAGTTAACATCTCCCCACCACGGCACCCAAGGATGATTGACTCGAGGCTAGTCCAGGGCACACGTTCAAACGGGTTTGCTGCTAATTTAATATTTCCAATACGTTCTTAAACACGAATGCAATTAAAGCGTATTACATATGCATATGGGTAAACTAAAAAACTTCCAAATTTCAGTTTTGTAACAGGACACATTCTATTGACTGCATATAGAATGTCTATTTTTATGTTAATGAGTATTAATGTCATGGCGCTTTGGGTGGCAAATGTGCCACGTTTAAGCAAACAAAATTTACTTGACAACAGTAATTACAATATTGCTAATGCCCCAGAAAATAGCATTACATCAGGGATAAACAATATTGTTCCTGCACTGTCACAGAAACGTTTCCAACAATGCAACTAGCCATATATGTGGTGATCTATAAAAAACATAGCACAACCGTTACTGTTTCAAAATGACTGTACAACATTAAAATATCTTTGAATTAATTGCTGGTGCCATCACTTCAATGAACTCCCGAGTGAACAAGGCCATACAAGTCTGATGCCAACAACCCTGGCACGTCACACGTTTGGACCATGATGCTGCCTTTGAAAGTAATAATTTCAACTTGTAATGCACCCACGGCATACGCTCATTTGGAGTGAGGCGCGACAAGGAACCACAGTGCAGTCTGAAGTTTTTTTTCTCAGCCAATGTGGAAGTAAACCCACCCATGCGAGGGGACAAAAGTGAGAGCAGTCAGAGTGACTGAAGTGCTAACATTGCGTTGTTCTGGGGGTTGTAATCGGCACAAGCTGGCAACTGTTGTTGATCAGGCCATGTCTGTTCGGCATGGCAAGTCCATCTGATGGTCAAAAGCATCCTTCCTAGCAGCTGCACTTTTCACTGGAAAATGTTTTAGAACTTATTCTGAAGTCGATATTCATAAACCTTGAGAGAATCTACTGGGGCTCTGACCATCCCCCCACAATGAAGGCAGCACTGCAATGTCCACACCTCATTGTTGAGATTGAGCGAGATTGTAGAGCATCAAACAGGAAGTGGTGCATGCTGCTCTAATGCTGACTCAAATACTTGAGCGCTTGATGAATATTAAGTTTTTGATAAATTAACACCACAATCTGCAGCATCATGGTCACCTACCTGGTAGGGACTTACATAAATGGCATTGAATGGGTGAAGACAGGCTGTGAATATGTATGTTTTTGAACTTATTTTCCACCATACGTAGCCAACCGTGTTAATCAGAGGTCAATCTGTCTGAAAATATAACAAGTTCTAAAAGTCCTGTATTAGAATACTCTGTATATAATGCCATAACGTATCTGAATAGGTTTAAAAGTAATTGTAAATTAACTATACAGTACCATGTTTGAATCGTAAAACGTGCTATCAATAGTGGTACCTGTTCACGCTAAAGCTATTGCCGATTAGGTTGTCATTGAAGAAGCCTGTGCTGCGGCTCTAACTGGTGGCTGTCCCTGCTCGTATTATTTTAAACAATGCGTTCACATTGTTCGTTTTGATAGCTTCACGGCAGGCAGATATCACCAACATCTTTGGTTTTCCCGCTGCGAAGAAAAAAACACCGAGTCAGAATGAAAATACTACCACATTGATTAACATTTCTAATAAAAAAAATATATTTAAACTCTTGTTTTGCACAGTGGCCATTCTTCCCAGCATAGAGTAAGGAAATATACGATTGTGAGAGCATTGCACAATATGGATCAATTTAATCATTTTACAGATAGCATTTGCAGATTCAGTTACATGGATAATGATGGGAACAGTGGAAAACAGGTATATGGGTAAGGGGAGTTGCACGATAATTTATAACCAAGTAACTAATTACTATCTAGAACAAGCTTGTGGCAGGATTACAACTCCCAACACTTATTGTCAAAGCAAATAGTAATTCTGAGCACACCGTGCACGAGGTAGTTATTGGGTCTGCAATATTTCATGAAGGATAATTTTACATGAAAAGAAAAACGGTACTGGTGACCTGTTAATGAGCTTACCCAGAATGACTGAAGCACCTTGTCTAATGCTGCCGGTTCAACGGGACGAAGGTTAACCGTGTGCACCTTGGTGGCGAGATGTTAACTACCTCGCCTGGTATAGAGGATGTCGTGGATTCAATCCCGACCTGATGTCTGTTATATATTGATGAATGATCAGAAGCTCTTACCTCGGAGTCGTCCAGCTTTCTGGATAGTTTGGTTGACTGTCCGTAAACAGCCGAGTAGCTCATTGTGATTGTTGCAGCGAATCTTGTAACCATTTATAAGATCTTTGTTTAAATTAAAGAGTTGTGTGTAGCCTTTTTTCATATTTTTTCTGGAAATCAACAAAGGCGGGGGTATTAAACGTATGCACGTGTCCTTCAAGCAAAGTCAACGAGTATCACAAAACTTGAGTTGACAGTTTAACCAAAATTTATCGTTTTCAATACTGAAACTAGCTTCATACTAGGCATCATGCTAGTGCAGTGGTGACAATTGTGCCTTACAGCAAGAATTACCTGGGTTCGATTCTCAACTCGGGCTACTTACTGCGTGGAGATTCTAAATTCCCCCTCTGTTCTGCATGGGTTTCCTCTCATAAGCTAAACATACACAATGTAACTGGTATTGGCCAAACAGCCCAATGCTGAAAAGAACAAATCAATAATTCAGGATTACATAGACCAGCAGCAATAATCATCCACCTCCTGCAAGCACTTGTTAGGACCCTCCTGTAAAAGAGTCTTGGGACTCAGTGAGGGATAACCAGCGTCATGATAATAAAAAAAACATCAATGTAATACAGTATTGCCTCGTTATTCGCGAGGGATACGTTCCAGAAATGCTCATGAATAGCAAATAAATACATCAATAAGATATTAAATACATGACAATTATAACAAAACAAATTTGGTTATAACAAAGTAAATACAAATAAATATTGAAGTATGAAATAATCTATATATGCAACAAACTTGTAATTTGGCATGTGGGTAGCTTCCAGACTGTACACAATGCAAAAAGTATAAAAATAAATTTTTGTATTTAGGGGGGGGGCGCAATAATGCATAGATCTTGCACGGCAAGTGAGCGTCACATCTGTGATGTCACCCGCATGCGGCAGCGTCACGCAGTGTGCCTGCTGACGTCACGCATCCCCCCCCACCCCAAGACAAGAATCCAAGTCTCGGGCGTAGCCGGGTAGTAAAGCTAGTCGTTTATAAATGAACTTACATGATGATGCTGCGCAGTACAAGGATGCAATGACGATGATGCTGACGACAATGACGATGACAATGACGATGATGCTGACGACAATGACGACGATGATGATCGTTGTGATGTTGCTACTGCTCCTACATAATAGACGTAGAGTTCCAGATGCGATTCGCGGATCGCCAAAATCGTGGATAGCAAGGTTCATGAATAATGATGGCATGCTGTTCCCAGCGCCAAGCAATCCTCCAAGCTGAGTCTCCTTGGCTCCTCTGTGATGCGAATTAATCGGTTTTGCATGCGTTAACGGGTGGTGCTTACAGGTCGCCCATGAGCCGAGAATCCTCGGCACTGACGAGCATGCTGCGCACCATGTTCGAGTGGTCAGCCATCTCTGCAGTCAGCTTCTGGTGCACCGAGTGAAACTCGTCCACCTACGAAGGTCGGCAACAAAAACAACAACAGCAGCAGCAGCAGCGGAAGCGGTATTCGCTTATACCACTCAAAGGGTGACCGGGCGACTGAGTTCAGATGAATAACCGAGTGCATTTGGTATTTGTGCCATTCTTATAGCGCAGGGCTATCCCGAAGGTGCTATGCTTCACAGACATAGTCTGTGTTAGTTTGTTAGGGGCGATTACTGCTGCATGTAATGGCAATTAAGGAATTTGCCAGTAATTTATCAGAATTTGGATTTTTTACTGATACCAGTTACAAATCACCAAGCGAACTCCGGTCATCATTGCAGCGGCTTTTGGCTAGCCATCGAACAAAGATGGTCACTGCAGCTATACAATTTTAAAACTATGTTGAAAACTCATTTCTTTAGAACTGCTTTTGTCTTTAGTTTGCTGCCGATCCCCCGACCCTCTGATTAGCATGGTTGGCTACGTATGGTGCGAAAGAAGTTTAAAATACATGCATACATACGTACATTTTGCGTTTTTTGTTAATCAAATAATATAATCGAACCACCCACTGCTACAAACCAACACAAAGCAAACGTACCTTGATGAGGGTGAGTCTCAGCTCCTCCATTTCAGCAGGGAAGTGTGCCTCTACTTGCAGGTCCTCTATTGCCAGGAAAGCCACGAGTGATTGCACGATGTCTCCTGCAAGGTCCATATCATCTGTATAGATCAACACCTGCCAGGGGAAACATCACGTACGTTTAGGAGCTAAAGGCAATGTAGAAATTTAAGGCAATTATCATCGAATGCTGTTACCGTGCAATGGTTTCTGCACCATTTCATATTTTACAAAAAAAATTGCGTTAAATCGAGGCAAATTCAGTCACTACAGTATTATTATGGTAACTTACCCAGGAATGCCTCACAGAGTCTCAAGACTCTTTCTCAGGAGGGTTCTACCAAGTTTTCACGGTAGGAGTGATGTTGCTGCTGTGTGTAATTACAATTGAGTATTTTGTAGACAGTTCTACAGCATTGGGATGTTTGGCCAACACCAGTTACATGTTATATTTTTAACTAGCTATGGGAGAACTTGGAGCAAACACATGTAGAACAGGGGGAGAACATACACACTTCACACAGAAAAGCTCTCGAGTCAGGAATCGAATCCAGGCCATTCTGGTTATTGCTACTGCACCATCTGACTTCTTGTCCTTGAGAATAATCCTATGGGAATGTGGAATTTCAAACAATGGCACATTAAACACAGAAGGCCACATTGCTGTTAAAACCTTTCTTATTATCTGTACAAACCCAGTGACAGTGATCAGGATCTGCTGTGCAATTCATACCTCTCCACTGGGCTTCATGGTGATAACGAGAGGACCATTCCCACGCTGCGACTCGAACGCTACGTGCAGGAAGCTGCTCTCGCATTCACACTCTTCCGTTAGCAGGAAGTTCTGATTCAGCCACAGGATAACCTGCCAGAGTATTACAGAGATGTATGCAAGACGTTAAATATGGTGACAATTATATTCCACACATTTGCAAAACAAATATTAGTTGAGTCCAACAATTTCAAACGTTTAGCTGTAGTATTTTAAACCCATGTGTTATACCTATGTAGTGGGTTCAACTGAGTCGCAGACATACTCTTTGGAGGCAACACATTTATTAACACCAACACTCGGGTTAACAGACTAATAACCTATGGTGGTGACCTCCAGGCGAACTGCACTAATTACCACATAACTAGCTACAACGGACCAGACCACAGCTTGGGTCAAGGTCCACGTGTTGGAGACTCCTGTAGGACGTAGAACGTTGACGAAGGTTTCTTCAGGATGAAAAACAGAAGCCGGTCCCTCTGGGGGACCCGGCTTATATCCTCTGTGGCGTGGCTGGCTCTGCCCTTAGCCACGACCACCTTCTAGAATCCTCGAGCAGGATCTCGACCCTGACACGTGACCACCCCTAGCCCCCACTTGGGGGCCCTGTGTTGACTTAACCGGTCACGTGTCCTCCAGAGTGAACCAGAGTGCCATGGCCCTTGAGTAAACCCATTTCCATGGCCGGCACTCCCGCACCCTATCCTGTAGGGGGCCGGCACTGCACGCAGAGCGTGGTGCCATCCAGCACTGTCAGTCAGCGCTCACCAAGCCCCTCTAGGGCCGGTACTGCACCCACATCCAAGTGGTGTCCGCGATGTCAATACATCGCACGCCGTGACTCTCTAGGGCCGGCATTACACAGTGACATCCCGCGATGTCACGACACCTATGTTGCACTCGCATTAGAGATTAATTATTTTAAAATATAAATGTTTTGGGTCACTATGTGCTCTCTCTCCCAATTGTCTACACCACCATGAGCTGGCTTCATCAGCAGCACATTCCAACTCTGCTACAGGAGGCCTATTTGCTGGGTAAACGGCTTCAGAATCAGGACTGGCGGCTTCCAAAGGGACAGAACTGCTACAGGAGGCCTGTTTGCTGGGTAAACGGCTTCAGAATCAGGACTGGCGGCTTCCAAAGGGACAGAAGGCCTAGAGAGAGCCTCAGCTGCCTTCACTGGACGATCACAAGTCACGGTCGGGGGATAGAAGGTGGACGTGGTCGAGGATTTGTGTACTTAGCCAGCAATGTCCATAATGCAGGGGCTGTGAGGAGGTCAAGAGGCCAGATTTTTTTTATGGGCTATGTAGGCCACTTTGGAATAGAAGACAGATCGGTCTGAGTGCGGAGGAAAGCGGGAAGGCCTGTTGTCAAGACAGGCATTGAAATCTATGTATGTATGTTTGTTGAACTTTATTCGCATCGTGTTAACCGTGTTAATCGGAGGTGCGGGGGAAGAAAAACAAACTAAACACAAAAATCAGTTCCAAAGAAATTAGTTTTCAATTAAGATTTAAAAGTGCACTATAAAAGGGCATTGGAATGCACTGAGCGTCCGGTAATGAAGGCAAGAACCAAGGTAAGATAGTCAGCGTGCGCCGAGCTCTTACCCGCTGTATG